ATACAAATCAGACATATTAGATTATCTTGTCAATAGATAAAGCAGAATGAAAAAAATCTCAAAAAGAAACATTTTATCATCATCTTTGAATAGTACTAACAGATTTTTTTGAACTCACAAAATCTTTTTTTTTTTGTTTTATGTAATATAAAATAATAGAATGAAATAATATTTTAAATTAAATTGTATATAAAAATTATCGGTACGTAATTTTATGTGATGTAATCGTCTTATGTATTGTAAGACTGTTAGACACAACGAACAATTGATTTCTAATATTTCACGATAAATATATTTTAATGATTACACAAACATACATTCTATATTCAAGTTAGTGTGAATAATTATTAGACTTTTATGGATAGAAACATAATAATGTTCTGACATCTCCCTTCTTCATCTAATATCGTATTTAAATTAATAATTTCTTTCATAGACCTTGTCATTAAAATGACTTATTGATCGTTTGAAGTTAATCCATAAAACCTACAACCGTTTGTAATCCATTAGTCAGGTTAATTAATTGACATGAAGGTAGTTAATTAAAAATTCGAAAAAAACATAAATCTTTTCCTCACGAAATTAATAGACAGCAACTTGGTACTTCTTCATTTCAAAATCATCTCAATTCCCAGTCAAATACAACATATTACTACATGATTTAGTAAAGCAGTTAACAAAACATGTATATGTACTTTTTGTTCTGAATTTTTGTTCTAAATTACTAAGTAACCGTTTTATGTCTATTTTGTGTACAAGTACATATTCGAAATTTATGGTAAATGATATATTTTTTTAGTTTTATATGAACGTTCATATGCGTGTATAAACAATATTAAAAAAAGAGATATCTAGATAAGTTTTAAGAAAATTATATAAGAATTCAATGTACAGAATGCTCTAGATAGTCGTAGAATCCAAAAGTAGTCTTACTCTCACGTAATACAATAAAAATGAACGTTATCTGACACAGATCTATGGAGACTCGAGAAAAAATCATAAAACGTTTTACATAGAGATTCATTACAGGCATTAATAACTTCTTTCACTGATAGCATTAGATACCAAGTTTAAATATAGTAACTTAATTGGATTATTTATTTTCTTTGGAATTTCTTAATTAATATACACATTTTAATTTCTTTTTTTTCCATAAATTCGTATCATTTATACGCAAAATTAAATTTATTTAAAAGAACAAATTCATTATGATTTTAAAGTATAAAAGTACAAAGTAAACTCTCTTTATTAAATTTAAAACAATGCCTCTGTTATTGTAATTATCTTATTGATTAATTACTTATTATCTTTTACGACTTGTTAGTTGTTTTATCTGAAGAAATAATAATCTCTGGATACTTTTTATAAAAATAATGTAAGACTATTTTTATAATTTAAATAAGTCTGGCTCATTTTTTGTTTCGCAGTTTGTTTTTATCAGATGATAATAAAAAAACTTTTTTAGGGTTCTGTTCTGATTATTTTTGTTTATGTGTATTTAAATTTCTTCTTGTTTTAAAGAGGTCGTTGTAAAATAAAATTCAAATTTACACGACGACTAAAGGTTTGCGATTCTTTGAAGTGAAAATGAAATTTAAAGTTTGAGGAATTCACATTTCTTTGCATGACTTATAAGTCACAAATCAAATATATAAAATGGTACGAAACTATTAAGCTTATTAAGATATACAAAAGATTAAAAAGAAAAAATCACAATTATAAATTTGATTGAAAAAAAAAATGAACCAGAATTCTTCGTTTATAATACTCACACTTATATTTAAAAGTACATTTATTATAAACGACGTTTATGCACACTTTTATTAGGAATAACAGTTAAACGACTGAGTTTTATTAAATCAAAGTTATGATAGAATCTTTATATATTAATTAAATTTTGCTGCTGTCGCTACCTTCTAAAATAATATTGATAATACTGCGACATATCAGCAGTCCCCGTTCAACTTGCGATCAGTGATGTGTGTTTAAGTAATAGAAATAAAATAAATTATTATTAATAAATAGCAGCGTGTTAATTTGAGTGGCTTTACGAGTGAGTGATAAGCGATTCTGGTTTAAATGCTCGATAACTAAAAAAGTGAGAAATCACAACAACAAACAACTTTTACAGAGAACCGTTTTAGTCAAGCAAGTGTCAATATATAATATTTAAAAATATATAAAGTAGATTTGGACATTTCTTTTATTAATTTAATTTATTCTTCTGAGTTTCCAACGAATATTTAGTTTATTAAAATCAACATGAAATACAAAATATTTTAAATGCACAAAAAAATATTTTATACCTTATAAAAGTGGATAAAAATTTCTTGAAATTCCATTTAATTTTACCTTGTTTCAGTACATTTTATCTAACTAATCCTTTTCATCGCGTTTTTCTAAATTTATTCTGCAAAATATTTAGTTTTTTTCTGTTTAAATTCGATGTTTATAATACTATAATGATAGCGGTAAAACAATTATCTTTTCTAGGGATTATCTTATAGATAAATTTAAAAATATTTACGTATTCCATAGATAAAAAACTTAATTTTAAATTTCAATATATTTTAAAAAAATAAGCATTTATTTTTTATTTAAATTAATTATAAAAAACAGTAACTTTATTTTCTTTCTAAAATGTACATTATGTCTTTTTGTTTAAATTGTTCATCCTAGAAATACATATTGTTATCAACTTGATAAGAAAAGGCCAAAATTAGAACAAATTACTGCTTTTCTAGTGTGTGTTCATTCATAATACTAGTCTTGTTGAAAAAGGTAAAATAAAATATAAGGGACATTTGATGTTATAGAATTACGTATTTCTCTTTAAAAATATTGAGTGATATAATACTTAGTGAATTATCACGAAGTAAATAGAAAGTACAAGTCCAATGAATGTCTCTTTTCCGCCACACTAATTTTTTGTGTATAAAATGCATATTAATATTTTTTACATCGTAAAGTTAATTATTCTTTGACTGTTATAACTTTCAAATGGCGTAATAGTTTAAACAAATAATGTGGTTTGAATTCATCTTCTTAACATATCGACTGGACATACATATGTCTAGCTTTCTTATTACTTACTTTCACTACAGAGTACAGCTAAAGGGTTCTTTAATCAAGTAAGACGTCTATTTTCTTTACATAACGAGTAACTTTTATCGCGACATTTATTTGTTAACAGAATTATTTCTGATCACTTATCTTAGACATTATCTTAAAAAATTCAGGCATCTAGTTTGTGATGTCTTATTCCATTGAAATAAAACTCATAGTGAAATTGTCACAAAAATATCGCAATAACCTCGAAAATATCTCTTCAAGGTAAAGGACGTGACAAGATAGATAATGTTTCTCTTAATCTGTGACATATATTTTGCTGTTGATAACTAAACTAGCTTCTTCCATCGGGTTTACATTCAATTATTTCTCTTTCAACTAAGATAAATATTACGATACCTACAATTTTCCAACACAAATATTTACTGACACAATTTTGGCAATAACAACAAACAAACAGATAAATGAAACATTTTTTAATAAAATCGTATGTCTCTTATACGTATGTATATTTTTAGGACTTGGTTGTAAAAAATACAAAAATTTTAAAGTCTATTATATTATAAAGAACTCGGAATGTATCCAAATTGATACTATAAGTGTCAACTATATCGCGAATAAAACTAAAAGATAAGGAACTGCAGGACATAATATGTATTACTAAAAAAAATACAAGTTCGTCTTTGACGGTCAGTAATATTTTATCTACATCACACAATCGTGAGTAAGCAGAACATAAAATGATAAAAAATGCTATTGTTTGAGACGTGCTTTATCGAGAGGCTTAGTAGGGTGAGAGAGAAATAATCTCACATCCACATCTAAAGTAGGAAACTTGGCTATTTTTGTGATAAAATTCTGGGAAACCAAAAACGGTGGCATTCAAATTATAATTATATATTTGATACGTGCGAACCAACTATCATTGACACCATTGTGATAAAAATAGATCTCAACTCCATATTTAGTATTATTTATATGGAAACAAAACAAAAATTTTAAAAACTATGCGACCTAAAATACTTTGTCCTAAATAATACTATTAAAAATCAAAATTGCACAGAAAATTTAGATAATGTAATTTGTTATTAACTATAAGGTATGTTCAATGTAATGGCAACATTTAAATATTAAAATAACAAAAAATAAAACCAAGTCTTTTATAAAACGTAGATTTCCATCCTTATAAGAGCACTTGATATTTATCTATAAGTGTGACATATCCAATAGCTGATATATTATAGACAATTGTGATAATGATAACACCAGTCACCAAATAAAGGCACGGAATGCAACACAGGAACTGTCGTATTAATATTCTGACTAATTTTACTTTATCAGATCATATTATGAACGTCTTTTACTCATAGTAACGTAAAAGTAACCTTTTTCATACAATTTTAAACATTTTAGTAACAGAAATAGAGGTCTTTTTCGAGTGCTTGATAAATATCCTTTGTGTATGTCTGCATAAACCAGAAGATAAGATTACTATGTTTACAGGGTGTTTAATGAAAATGGACTACGGCTTAATGTTTTAGCTCGGACGCTCTTTTAGTGGAAGTCTTTTACAGTCTAAAATTTATATAGTTTAGTTTAATTCTCATAATAATTTAACTATTTTGTTTTGTTTTTGTTGAATACCTGATAATACCTGTAAGTAATCCACACACTAATCAATACATATCTCATAGAAAATTCCTTGTAATAAATAATTTTGATTAGTATTCATCAATATAATTAGTAAACAAATTTATCTTTTTATTCGATTCATATAATGAAGAATTATTTTAAAAAATATATCAAATGTTTATTAAAATGCAAAATTGAATAAAGCCACTTAATATTAACACGTTCTTACAAATGTTTATTAAAAATATATGTAATTGGGGTCAGGAATAAAATGACGTATTAAAAGTAAAAGGGGGAAAATGTCAGACAAAATTGAAGAATTGTCGAGAAAGTTTGCAGAAAATGTGTTGGAAGAAAACGCAAGAAGCGTTGGTTAGTATTGAGATATGATCTGTAAATAATTTAAAACCTTCAACACCTCTAAAAAGCGACTTTGGTCATATTTAAACAAAAGACAATCGTATAATATTGCTCGAAAAACAGTTTTCATTCAATGATATGTAAGATTTTCGCATTAAACATACAAAATGATTTTTTTTCGGTTGAAATCACGCAAATTTATTATTTTATTAAAAAAAAAGGTTTTTCATCTCATCTGACCGTGGAAGTTGTTGCTGTAAAGTAATGGATATGTTTGGTATTATTTCCTAAAATTATAGTTTTACTGTAATTCTTCTCATATATTATGTTAAAGAATGTATGTTGTCTCGTTCCAGGATTATTTCCAATACCAGAATATCCCGAATTCGAGCAGCGCGGCATGTGGTCATCAGTTTTAACCATTCTTCTGACGACGTTGCGATACCTCGCTCCTGCAACTTTGCTGACTTTGCTCTGGGTTCAGCCACACTGTGTGTTGAAACTTCTAAAATACATAGACTCGGCCGTAAGATCTTGTAAGTATAAACATCTTTTGATATCAGCAAAACTGGTTTTGAAGTTCGATAAACTTTTATTAAGTTTTTTCATAATTAGTTAGATTAAATATTTAAGTTGCATTGCCTTTAATCCTTGGGACAAGTTATTAATAACTTTAATAACAAAAGTTGGCTAAAAAAGTAGCAAATTTTTAACGGAATTTTTAGATCAACGAATGTTAACCAAACCGTGGTTACATTATTAAAACGTTACATGTGCTTCATGCTTCAAAGATCAAATTATGTAAGTCGATAAAAATATACAGTAAATGTTGTAAAATTATGTCAACGACGATTCATTTTTAAATCACATCATAAAACGTAAAATTTAAGTGAAATATAAAAATGAAAAAATCAAATAAATGGCTAAGCAATTTTTTTCAACGTTTAGGTATTTATTAAATAAATATTCCTTTAGTACCTGGTTATATGAAATGTGGTTTTTATAATTTTGTATGGAAAATACAATAATAGTTCTAAAATCAAGCGTTTTATGTGATGTGTGAAACCTAAAAGTACCTTTACTTCATGCACGAGCGATTACATCTTAACGCCGCATTAAGCTATTCATGTTAGCTATTATTAGTAATCTGATACATCCCATGAATCATAACTCAACGTGACTAAAAAGATACCGTTGTCTCTCCCACACAACTTTAAATTCTCTCGAAAGACTTTTATTTAAAACCAATTCATTTAAACAATCATTTACCAATTTATTTTAGAATTGAGTTCATTCATTCCACGTCTCAAATATGTTTAAAGATTATTAAGATTAAAATGGATATCATTACAGTAGCATTCTCCAGTGAAGAACAAAAAGAGGATATTTTAAAATGGCTAGCGGAAGCCGGACCGGTGCGAGTCGACTCACTAGACGTCGTTTGGAGACAGGGTTGGATAGTATGTGGAGTTCTGGACATGGCATTGCCAGGAGCCTGTGCTGGACATCCACCCTCAAAACTCTCGTTAAAGCACGCTCAAGTTATCGCTGAACATTATCTTGGTGTGGAACCAGTAAGTTCAGAAAGGTTTAAATAAAAACATTAAAAAATTATGTATGTACTTGCGTACTATAGTGTTAATAAAAATATAATTTCCCCTTTTAGATCTTTACCCGACAGGAACTAGAAGCTTACGAATCACTCAGTAAACACCAAGAATATAAGCTACTAAATTTTTTAGAGAACATACGTCTGGCTATATCGAAGTTAAAGCCCCCTTCACCAAAACATAGGACTATGGCAACCCAAAAAAATGTAACAGAACCGTTGCAAAACTGCTTGGATTACGTTGCAAAAGGCTCGGGTCTAACAGCCATTCAAATAAATAATAAAGTATACTTTAAAATATATCCATCAGCTCAACAATCTCTGAATCCAGACGAAATTACTATTACAATATACGGCCCTCGAGGAGTTTATGGCAGAACTATTTTACAACCAATATTGGGTAAAGCTCAATTAATAAGACAAAATTTGTTAAAGAAACAGCCAAAATCGATTTACACTGAAAATGCTCTGCCAATAACACAAGGTACAACTTACATGAGGTCTTATGGAAGAAATGATGTTAATAAGACTTTTTTTATTCCAAAAACTAAATATGATATTGAAATTGAAACTGATGTAAAAGAAGATCACGCACGTGTAAGCTATACTGCTTCTTTAGAAGGGAAATACAAAATCTCAATAACAAGTAGAGGGCAGAATATTGTTGGTTCTCCATTTATTGCCACAGCTTCTAAAAATGTGGTTGAAATTTTTGAAAAAGATAACTTTTTCCTTGAGAACGGGGAAGAAATAAATATCTTGGATACCAAAACTGATAAGAATGTTGTTTTAAAAGTTGTTGATTACGGGGCGGAGAAAATGCTTTTAAAAGAAAGTGGTGCACCAGAAAAAATACACAAAGAAGAATACACAAAGAAGAAATTGAAGAAATCAACTTTTCGCTCCATTAATAATAACCTATTAGTTGAAGATAAAGCTAAGGATAGGTATACGGAAAATGAGCAGACTCAAGAAAAGTTCTATAATACAGCCTTGAAAGTTATGACTATGAATCGTGTTTGTAAAGTGCTACAAAATGTGAGAGAAAACTCGAGCTCAAGAAAAATTAGCTTAGTCAGATCCACACAAGACATACCAGATATTGTCAATTCAACATTTTATGATGATCAAATAAGTCAAATAATTCAAGAAAAAAACAATAGAATAATTGTTCCCCAAAACATTTCCGTGTCTATTTTAACTGAAAAGTCAAAAACTTATATCGATGACATAGAAGTCATCGATACATGTAACAATAACATTCAATATTTGAGTCACGGTTTGGAAAATATTGTTAAACTTAAAGATGACCTTTTTGAAGAAGATACCATTTCAGTAGACACCACACAATCGTCAAGCAATCCCTTTTTATGTGATAGATATGAACAAAATTATGAGGTAGGAAAACAGTTTGGATCTTTCGTACCAAATGAATATGAAACCAATAATTCCCAAAGCGAAGAAACTGAAGATTCTGTTGTTAAATTATTAGATGATTACCAAGACCACAATAATACTGGTAATAATCCTTTCATTGATTATAACAGTAGTAACTTACTTTCATCAAGTCTTATAGGTGATAACACAAAGTCAAAAACTATCAGAGAACACACCGATTCTGTATATCTTGATTCTGAATATGATAATGAGTTAGATGATGTAATGTGCAGTAGTGTAAAGAACAATCCTTTTATAAAACACGAAAAATACCTGTCCCAATTACAAAATGATAAACCTGATTTCATTATCGGTGCACCTGTATCTATACCGCAAGTTTACTTATCGTCTCCAAGCGAAAATCAAACAAACATCTCTGAAATAAGTACAACAAATTGTTCTTATAATAAAAATAAGCTAAAAGATTTACAAAACCAAAACTCAACGATGCCTCATGAATATTCAAATCAAGTTGAGGATGTAACTAAAAATTCCAATTATAATAGCCTAGATTCAAATAATAGTTCCAAAATTACCACTTCACAATCAAGTAGAGAACTGTCACCAAAAACTGATATTTGGGACTCTGCGTATGTTAGTATAGACGAAAATATTTATGCTGAAAGTACCTCAAGTGAATCTAGTAACAGCAAAATAAATAATCCCGAAAAGATATACTCTCAAACACGTCCTATAATAAGAGATATAAAATACATTGATGAAGACGATGATGCAAACAAATATGAAATAAAACGATCTGAAATTACACCCATAATTGAAGAGAACGAAAGGAGCTTTATATTTGGCATGAAGGAACCGACATCTGGAACTGACCCAGTGGTGACCGCATTTACTGAACTTGATGATATTTACGACGAAATATTTTCGAACTCAGAAGTAAGTTCAGAAACTACTAATCAAGACTACAAGAAAAATTTTGAAATTGAACATGTTACAGAAAACGATGAAGTCTGTGTCAATTCAGCATCTGATATTATAACAGATGTGAAAAGACAAACGAAACTAGGAGAAGGAAAGATTTCTGAGGTTCAGGAAAATGTCACTGAATCCGTTTCAGTAAGTCAAAACCTTCATGTCAAGGAAAGCTTTTGCGAAAAAAACAATAATCGACTTGATAACGAAACACAATTTGGAGACCCAAGATTTATAAATATTGTTTCTGAAAAGAAAAAGTATTGGGATGAAAGAATCCGAGAAATCGAAGCTAAATCCGAAGAAATAAAAGTATTTCAAACTAAAAGACGTCTCTCTGGTAAACATTTACGACGCAATGATTCTTTGACCAAAAGAAAAGGGAAAAAAATTGTCCAACATATTTTAAAATCAGGGCAAGAAGAGTATGAAAAATATGTCAAAGAAAAATGTGAACCAATTAACGATAATGTCCAACAAATTGAAATATTTAACTCCACTGAACGAAAAGATATCGATAGTAACAACCACGAACAATTTACTTGTTTCGGAAAAAAATCCTCTGAAAGTAAGGCGAGATCAGTAATCGATACACTGAAAGACATCAAAGTAAGTAGTGAAGATTTAGTAGATATGGTTACTGTTGTTGAGACACCTGTAACGGAATTAAACTTAAAACAAGAATTATCAGAGAAAGTATTCCAAGCATTCGAAACCAGTCCCAAAAGGTTCTTTGGCACTTCTAGAAAACATATTTTAAATAAGATTGATACTTTTCTAGGACTACCGCATAATGAACAAGAGACGAAAAAAATCAAAATAGACGTTAACCACGAAAGCGGCCTAGTTTCTAGTCGTATTTCATTATTTCACAACATATCCAATACAGAAGAATTACCTTGGGCACGAAGAAAAAGTAAATCGATGCATAACCTGGCCTGCATAGATAGTAACAAAAAACTTAGTGTGCAAAATGAACCTACACCTCTGTTACCAAATCCATCTCAAACTTGTGATAATTCTATACACTCTGAAAATTCTGATTGCCTTAATAGCCCTAAACGAAACTCTACCATAAGAGTATTAACAGAGGATCAAAATACGCCACATCAAAAACAAGCTGAATTAACACAAAGCATCAGTCTCGACGAAACGTCCTCACGACCCGTTCCTGACAATTTTATTAATACAGAAACAAATAATTACGTTAAAAAGACTATCAAAGATTTGAATAAACAAACTAATCAGTCTAAAAGGGATTCTTCAGTTAAGAAACTTAAATCCATTAGCAAGTCGGAAATGGACATATTTAGCAGAACAACCGACGTCGCTCAAGATGACGGTTTAGATAAACATAAATCTTACGAAGAACTGCCAAAAATATGCGTAAAGAATTTTATATCACACTATGAAGATGTTTCTAAGAAGTCCAATTTGACACAGAAAACTTACAAATTAAACTCGGCCGGTTTTACAGATAAAAAGCAAGTGCGGGATTCATTTCCAGGTAATTGTATAATTTATGTACTTAATAACTCCTGACTCCTAACATTCATACCTTTATTTATTCGATACTTATTACATATTTCTATACGTTATATTTTATTTCAATGACTAAGTTGTATTTTTTATTCAAATCTTAATTCTTTACCTTATTGTTAACCACGAAGAAATAACATTTTATTTACCGTTTTCTAACAAGCGAAATAAACTCAAAATCTTGTTTTTTATTTAAATTTTTTTAAATCTATAGACCAATTAATTACATTTAAAACATTTAACTACATTCATTTAATTACATTATTTACATTTTATTTTAAAATATTTAATTATATTCTTCATCGTTACAGATACGTCACATTCGAAAACTCTATCAGTTGAAGTTCTGACATCTGAAAAAGTAAAATCGCCTGATATGGATGAAAATAAGATAAATCTTTCTACAAACGAAGCTATACAGTTATTTGAAAAATTGGATTCTGGAGATAAAAACAAAAAACAGTCAACAAATACTTCAGTTAAAGGAAATCAAGGTGATGATGTAACTTATTTAAGTTTCTCGGATATTGATCTAGAAATAGTTGAAAAAGAAGAAGATAAATCTGAAGAAACTTGGGCACAACCTGAAGCAGAAAAGGCTCATTTAGAATACAAGAATCGGTTTACGATGGCAAAAAAATATTTTCAATCACTGGAAGAGCTAAGGCACGAAAGAGGAAATATTAAAAAGGAATCACTCCATACTTCCGTCGAATCTCTTAAAGATAAAAGCCGTCCTAAGAAAAGAAGCAACATCAAAAAGTCTAACTCAATGCCGTCATCTGAAATTGCGAAGATATGGAATCAAATGCAAGAACAAAATAATACAGATGATACCAAAAAGTTCGTTAAGATTTCAGAAAAATTTCACGTTGAAGATTTATTTGAAGACGTAATGGAGGGAAGACTGAGCCGACAGGGAAGTTTAAGAGGCATTCCTCATAAAAAAGCCGTCCTTGAAACCTTTAGATCCATGGAAAATATATCAGACAACAGATTGAATTCCTACGAAATGGCAGTTGAGCAGTTAAATGATTTCGCAAAGGAAAACCAGGTCCGAAATGCGCAGACCTATTTGAGTGAATATCCTTACTTGCCTACAACTGATCCGTCCAAATATCACTCCAGATTGGATACAACCGCATCTGGGTTGATTACTTTTAAGGAGTTAAAGAAGATACCACGAAGAAATAGTGTACCAGACTTAAGATTGAATCCAACATTTACGGCTGACCTTTGAATACAAATCAAACATTGTCAGTATTCTAAGTACCTTATAGTGTTATATTTTTTCCTGGTAAGCTGTACCTTTTAAACTACTTTAATTTTATATATTAAATTTTAAGGCCTTGTACAATTTTTGTACAGTTATTGGATCTAATATTTTGTAAGAAAATATGTTTATTTATTAAAAGCTTTATTCTATTAACTCTTACTTTTTATTTAATTTACACGATTTCATAGGTCAAAATAAAATGCGACTGAAATCAAAACTATGATCTTAATTTATTATAATTATAAGCATGCGATTATCATGAGTATTTAATGAGTGAAACAAAAGAAACATCTTCAGTTGTTACTATAAAAGCTGATAGCTTTGTGGCCATTAACTAACGAAGTTCAAAATTTTCTAATATTCGACTAAGCCAACATTCTAAAATTTGGTATGTTCACCAATGTCTATGAAATTACATAAATTTTCTAACTTTCATTCTGCTAAACTTAAAATAATTAGAAAACTATTGTACTTTTATAATTACTCAATTCTTGTAATTAATCACACAATTGACATGTATATAACTCTATGATTTCCTAAATTTATAAATAATAATAAAAACACCGACGTGAAACGTAAAATAAGTTAAAACACTGTATAATGGAATATATATAAATTATTGCTTGCTTCTATGATCCAACTAATTTATGTCACTATCATTAATGTCGTTATGGCAATAGCTTGTCATCTATGTCATCAAGCACCGATTTAAAACGATATCTATATATTGTAATACGAAATAAAACGAATAAATCATTTAATATGTATTTGTACGTAAGACGATGTTGTATTAGGTCTCCGTGATTTCAACCAGGCGGCCACTTGAGGATCGTTTTTGTCACCCCTGGCTTCTAATTGCTGATAGTAAGCTTCACGTATAATTCGGAATGCATCCACACTACGATATGGAAGTTTTGTTATTGGATCTATATATCTGGCTGGACGTCTGAAAAACAAACAAAAACTCAATATTTTATGGAAAATATATCTTTATATAATTTACTAGGAATAAATATATCCTCAACTTATAATCACTATATTTAATATATATATTTGTAATAAACTTATATTATGGTAACACTTTATATTCATATATATTAGTGTTTCAGAACCATCGATGGTTTGGCTATCGATAGTTGACCTCGAAAACTATTCAGAATATCGAAAAGTGCTTTCGATAGTATCGTCAATTGGTAATACTAGCAATATTATCGATAGCACTTCTTAAACAATAAATACTATTGAAAAAGCTAATACTATCGATAGATTATATTAACTATAGGATTTGCCTTTACTATCGATTTAATGTTGATGGCCTATCGATAGTGGACTATCAATATACGACACTAATCTGTATATTACTCACTTTGTAACAGCACATAGAAGTTCTCGTTTCTTCTTTGGTTTCCTTTGAGGAAAGCAAGCATTAAATGCTTCATCTTTTATATCATTCTCAAAGTATAATAATGTCCTCTCATGATATTTTGTATTTGCTTTAACTGTTTGTGGCTTTTCCTCTTTCCTGCATAGAAATTTAGATTAAGTTTTATGAATATTAAATAATAACAAATTCTTACCAAACTAATCTTTATATACATAAAAATTTCCTAAACTACTAAACCGATTTTAAATTTGATTTGCGTTCCGTATGCATTTTGATACAACTTAAAAGATAGGATAGCTTATATCTCAATTTATAGTCACAATATTATTTTATTGCAAACTAGAAGACCTGGCGAACTTCGTATCGCCCTATAATCAAGAAATATCTATTACGTTTTTTTATTTATACTTTTGGAGTTTACCTGCAAGGCATAAATCTCCGTGTTTTGAAGTGCGACAGAATGATTGACATGTTAGTTGTCAAATTTAATGTCAAAAAAAACGTTTGTATGGGAAATAGAAAAGGGCTGTTTTTATGGTTTTCCCAGTAATGAATCAATTTTTTTCAGCTTTTATACCTTCCCTGAACCTCCACGAACATTTCAAGACTAAGATAAGATAAATCCGTTCAGCTGTTCTCGAGTTTTAGCGAGACTAAGGAACAGCAATCCATTTTTATATATATAGAAGATAGAAGATTATTTGTCTATTAAAGAAAATGATTTGTCATTATTACAATTATCTGTTGACTGAGTTAAGTATTCAATAGATGGCGCTGTGATTAAAATACAAACTTCATATATGAACGACTATTTAATAATAGCATAACCACCACGTGTTTCTGAGGCTAAGGTATAACCAAAATTTATTTATAAAAAAACGTAACAGATATTTCTTGATTATAGGGCGATACGAAGTTCGCAGGGTCTTCTAGTATACTATACATTTTAAACAATAAATAATTGTATGGAAGATTCAAAAAATCCATATGACATTCAGTATTGCTTAAATGTTTAAAATATTATTTATAAAGAATAACAATTTTCCAAAAATATTAAACCTCTTTGTTCACAATATTGTTCTAATAATTGTTACATGAAATCTAGAGTAACTTTTTACATTTCTAATAAAGGAATACTTTCTAATATAAATATTTAACTTACATAGATGCATCTTCAATATTAAAACTCTCATCTGGTCCTACAATTTGTATTTCTTTTTTATCATCTTTTTGATCACCATTTTCATTGACAGTTTGTATTGACTGTTGATTTTCAATTGAATCATCTAGTGTTAAACCTGTAATTAGTAAAATTTTTATGAGTATTATTTAAAATGTATGTTACAGTTAGTTATATAGTATTAATATCATTATGTTTACTATGAAATATATTTTTTAATTTTAAAAATTTAAATAAATGAAGTGTGCTTCTTTTATATTCAAATGTAAGTTATAAAAATACTTATGGATCATTAAGTACAAACATTTGAGTGCATTTTAATCAATCAAAATATTTCAATAAAGCCAAGAGATTGTGTTTCTTTGCTTAATAAATCATTTGATTCAAAATATACTTTATAATAATATGATTATTTAATATCACTTCGGCATACAAAGATACTAATTAATTACACTTTACCTTTATCAATTATTCTACCATCCATTGTAACCAAAATTCCTTCCTTATCAAGCCAAAATTTTTAAATATATTTTAAGTTACTGCACAAGTAGTCACAGGCAGAGACTGCCAATACATTTTAAGCTTAAAAAGAAAATTCATTAATACCTACCATCTTCACTTTTTATCAAATCACTTAAATTCAACTCTGGTTGTTCCGTTGTTGGTGTGTTTAAACTAATTTTGTCCTCTGGCATCACTTCTGTTATTAATGGAACAGCAAAAGAATGGTACCTTTAAACATATATAAACAAATATTATTTAAATTATTTATAATACAACATGTAAAACATGTTTAATATATAATTTTATTTGTTACCTTATTACTGGACCCGTTATCGTTTTCTTTATTGGTCTTATTTTTTTCTTTTCTAATTCACTTTGTTCAAACCTCTCTGCAAGTAATAAGAACATTTAAAAGCATATCTTTTTGTACAAACAAAACGAACACATTAATTTGGATGCATATAATCAGTTGGTCAAGTTTATATACAGGGTGACTGGTGAATTACTATCAATATTTAAGGAGATTACTCAGTACATGATTCTCATTCGAATTATGTAAAAAAAATAGGTACTTAATTTTTGACAAAATTTCCGTATAAATAAATAAAGTGTGGACACGTTCCAAGTGTTCCAAGTGATACAACACCACGCCGCCGCACGCGTGTGTGTGTGTGTGTATACCTTATCTGTAGTATGTTCACACGATGCGTAATTAATTACATAACTTTTGGTTAACTTTACTTAGAAGTTTATTAATATTTATTGTGCGGGATAGCATCATAGAAATAGTATAGAATATAATATATATGTAAAATAAATAGCGATAGAACTTGTAATGTATAAATAAAGATATAACGTAAGATTAATGTAAATAAACAGCATAGTATAGTAAATAAAAATATAGAAACTATGTAGAATGTAAAATAGAAACAACTTGTAACTGTAAAATGATCGTATGCGCAACTACGCTCGACAACGCAAGCTCCTGATTGGGCGAGCGCCTGCGCGCTCGCTCAAACACCGGCAATGCGCGGTGAGATCACCGCGCGGATATAAAAGACCGGCCGACGGGCCGACTCAGCGCAGTCAGTGAGCGGAATTCATCGGAGAAACATCAGTCAGCGGAACTCAAGAACTACGGAAGACTTCAACAGCGAACAGTGAAACGGAAGATTATTAACAGTGTTCAGAATTGTAATTCGTGTAGAAAATAAATAGTGAATAACCGAACCAGCGCATAGTTTTAATGTACAAACCCGTACATTTATGTTATACAGGGCGACTGGTGAATTACTATCGATATTTGAGGACGTGATAATTGACGATCATATATGACAAAATAAAAATTAATATAACATAAATATTAATAAACTTCTAAGTAAAGTTTACCAAAAGTTATGTAATTAATAACGCATCGCGTGCACACCCTACAGATTAGGTATACACACACACTCACACATACGCGAGCGGCGGCGTGTTGTTGTATCAGTACGCCGCCGCACGCGTCCACACTTGGAACACTGGGAACGTGTCAACACTTTATTTATTTATAGGGAAATTTTGTCAAAAATTAAGTACCTATTTTTTTACATAATTCGAATGAGAATCATGTACCGAGTATTCTACTTAAATATTGATAGTAATTCACCAGTCACCCTGTATTAATTTTTATTTTGTCATATATGATCGTCAAATATCACGTCCTCAACTATCGATAGTAATTCACCAGTCACCGTGTATATACAAAGAATAGTAATTTTATGACAAATACTTTTTTATTATAAGTATTATTGTAAATATGATATTGAAAGATATAATCTATTCAATTATTATGAAGTCTCATTTGACAGGAATAAATCATATAAGGGCATCAACACCACATTGACGTAGATGAAATTAATATTTAAAATATTAAATACATATATGGGTATATCCGAATTTTATACTAATATAATTGAATCTCTGTCTATCATAAAAATACACTGTTGGTTTCCTTTGAGATTTATTAAATGGTAAACACATATACATTCTCGGAAACCAAATCAGAATTGATTTTATTTAATATTCAATATAATTTCACTATTCATTTATTAAATTTACACAAAGCAAACAAAATTAAATAAAAATAATTTGTACTAAATTTACATAACACAAATGAAAGATTTAAAGACTCCAAAAATCTATGATTGATAAATTTATCACACCAAAGTGTGTTACGAACGACAAGAGTTCTGATCTCCTTTGAGAACTGGTTATATGTGGTTTGCAAATTTCCTACCATTTCATATTCCTACAATACATATATATTAAACTCTTACCCAAACTCTTTAAATTCTCTTTTTCAGTTATAAGAGCTTCTTCAAGCAGCTCCTCCTGAGTCAGAACTCTTTCTTCAACCTTCTTCGGTTTTTTCTTTTTAAGTTCTGATCTTATTTTAATCCGCTGCTGTGTTTCAAGGGATTTGACAGCTGTGCTTTGTCTTATTGATTTTCTTTCTGTGAATATCATAAATTAAAATTGTATACTTTATTTATGAGAAATCCCTTCTAATATTATAAATGCGAAAGTAACTCTGTCTTTTTTTTTATGTTAAACCTGTGGCAAACGAGCAGACGGCCCACTTGATGGAAGGTGGTTACCGTCGCCCATGGACATCCGCAATAGATTTAGAGTCTGTCTGTTACACTTTCACACCTAAACTACTGAACTGATTTTAATGAAATTTGGTACAGAGATAGAGTTGACCTTGAGAAAGAACATGATAGTTTTTATCCCAGACTTTTGAAAGGTTCTCTAGGAAACATGGTATAACCGAACTCTATGGGGGGGAAGCAGCGGGCGGAAAGCTAGTAATTAAATATATATAATTAAAATGTACCAATAGATGTATCCATTACTGATATTTCATTTGGCTCGACTTTTTCAGATTCGTCTTTTGGTTTCGGCTCTTTTGTCTTTTTCACTATTACCTTTTTACTCTTTTCTGCTTTTCTTTTTCTATTTGGATCCTGTAAATTAAAATATGATATTAAAATATTTTTTCATTATCAGACATTAGGTTCTAAATTTAAAAACACTAGTCAAAGACACTGTAACAAAAACTTCAATACGAAAATATTATTGAATGAAAAATTTTTCAATTTCAATACAATCTCATGTTATTATACTAATCTACATAAAATTTGTGGACTGGGTAATGGATCAAGTATTTTCAAATAAATATTCTTAAATTAAGTGCTAAATATTTATAAATCTAAGCAGTACTTTATTTTACACACTAAACTAAACAGTCGGATATAGTATCAAAAACCAACAAACCTTATAACCCTTAGTGCTAACTTTCTGTTTAGTTTTTTCTTCAGTTTCCGTGTCAGATATCGGCTGGTCAGTCTCATCAATATCAAAATCAGAATCCACTTCATCATCAACCTCTTTCTCTTGGCTGAAATATTAGAGTACAAATTCTGCATAATATTTATCTCAAAATGTTATAACTTGTATCAATAACTGGGAAACAATTAAAATTATATAATTGTTTATTGTAATAACATACAAACAGATAACTTTCTGATAAATAATAACATTTGAAAGATTTTGGCGCCTCTAAAATTATGTTAACAAAATGTAATTAATTGGAATTCTTATAGTATGATATGAACACAGAGTTCATATAAATATAAGGAATACTTGAATAGTTACATATAATCATTATCTTCATCGGCTTCTGTAAAGCCGCCGTAAGTTGTTTTATAGAAATCATCTTCTTCCTCCTCATCGAGTAGTTTTGCCATACGATTTCCTGCATTGGACCGACGTTCTCGTTGCGCCATATTTCTATTTTAATACTGAGACTTACTAGATAAAATTAGATTTGTATTGATTAACGTTAAAATATAAATATTTTTAATCGTTTGTTTTACACAAGTTATGAACATAACAATCTGTCAACAGGCTTGACAGTTGACACTTAATCACAGAATCGGCATTCGGCAGATTATATCTACAAAAGGTTAAATATTATCTATAATTATATTTCGTACCAAATTATTTAGAATAGTTATATGTTCCTAGTAAACCCGGCGAACTCCGTTTCGCCACCAGAAGGCTTCTATATAACATTTCGTTTGATGATGAAAAGATGAAGATTTTTTTTTTTATATTTGAAAAGGAAAATTTATTTCATTTCACAACAGTAATGAATTCATTTCGATTATATAAATGAGGTGTTATTTAGTTGAACTTCTATAAGTAAATGAAAGTGAATCCAAAGTAGATACCGAATCGAAGCGTTATACGTGTCCGCAAATTATCCGTTTCATTGAACTGATCCTTTGTAAACTACATTTTTTGTTTTTTGGTCTAACTTTAACACAAATAAAGCGTATAGTTTCCAAACTCGCGAACACGCAAAATATAACTGCCCATGTGAAAAACAATGATTTTCTAAATTTATCCCGCAAATACTAAATGGTTTTAAGAGTTCAAACTACAAACATAATACTGGCTTGTCACATGAAATTAACTGAGAAGAGAACAATGAGTAGCTGTCAAACAATGTATCCTGCGACGGCACCGTCTACTTAAAATATTGAATTGTAGTACATGTTATGTATGATGGCGCTATATGTGAAAAAAGATTTTCCCCCTTTTCTTGGTTCTTTCGTTTTGAAGTTATAGCGTCAGGATGGAATACCGGACATATTTTTATATAGTAGATTTCTTACAAAAATCAAATTGTCATCCATACGTCATTACATATCTGTCATTATACGTCAATTGCATAGCTGTCAATTGTGTTTCGTTATGCCACGTTTTATAGTGACTGACGTTTCATGTCAAGTCCCACGGGAATGCTGTCGAACGGGATAAAAAGTATCCTATTGCAATTTCCTGGTTCTAAACTATCTACTACTACTACTACTTCCCTGCCAATTTTCAGCTAAATCGGTTCAGCCGTTCTTGGGTTATAAGTGGTATTAATATGTACTTTCTTTTATATATATAGATTAATTATGATAGTGATTTCCCGTTATTTATTAAAAATTTCTTTTTTATATTATCAAAATTATAACAATGAATTGAACCGTAAGAAACACAACAAAAAAAATTAAATAAAGTAGAACACTACTTATAACAATTAAAGAATCTATTAAATTAATAAATTGAAATAGTATACAATATTTAAAATAAAAGTATTTTATAAAAAATAGGCATTTGTAAAGACAAATGCCTATTTTTTGGTGGAAAGACTTAGTTTTTATTGCAGTAAAAGAGCATCAATAATTTTTTAAAAGTTTATTAGATTGTAGAGAGATCTGACTTCTTCTTCTTCTTCCTGGCAATCTCCCAGCTTTAGCCAGGGTCTGCCTTCCTATTAAACGCCTCCACTTTACACGGTCTTTCGCAATCTGACTGTTATAACTAAAATAACTATGGTCTTATATCTCTTTTTAAGTGTAGAGTTGTTGTTCTCATTCTCTTCTTAATTAAAAAAAATGTTTATCTTACCTTATATCTTCAAATGGAATCTCGGAATCTGCTCTAACGGTTTTCGTGAAATTTAGTATATAGGAGGTTTCGGGGAAATAAATCGATCTAACTAGGAATCATTTTTAGAAAATGTCAGTTGATGAAAAAAAACACAAAAAGGAAGCCTTTGACTAGTCTCAATTTAAAAATGACTCTTCCTGACATCTATTGGCAAATTATTATACTACTTTTTGCTAATTGCCTTTACTAATTGCTTTAACGATACAACAGCAGATGGCGTTGTTTTGTAACAAAAAGTCAATGAGAGTTTGTTTTGAGTTTAGACTAAGAAATTAATTGTTGATTTATATTGTTTTGTGTCTTCTTAACGTGTTCACTTAAAAATGGCTAAACGAAATGAAAAAAAAAACAAAATAAAATTATGAAGGACATCAAATTAACACTTATTATTTTCTTAGAGAATTCAATGGTGACGTTACTCTCTTCAAAAACAACGAATTGTTATTATATCTGAAATAAATAATAATATAGAGTCAAATAATATTGATGTAACGCTTTTATTCTTTAAAGATTGGATTTACTGAACACCTCGTGTATGGCATTTAAAAGGTTCGTGTATTATTAAATAATTAAATACTGCGAAATTGACAACAGTAACTAAACAAAATATTTTTTAACTAAGATGTACTTAAAAAAATGCATAACCGTTGCTATCTCTCATGAACACTACAAGAATGTAGTAAATAGATCATACATGACATCAACACTCAATACTTATTTGGTTACAACACTAATGCCTTCATTTTAAATAGCACGACATCTGAATTAAACAGTCGAATTGAATAATTCAATAAGTAATATAGAAGTTATTGGATACCACTTTAATGTGAAATAATTTACTTTGATAAGGATTAATATAATGCCAAGGTATAAAATAAAAGAGTTTTAATGCGACGACATTTTAATTATTAAAAAAAATACTTTTTGTGACACGGCTATCACAGTTAGACGGATGGGGACGCGATACTATTTGCATACAATTATATTTTCTCCAAAGTGTCTCCATTACATTGCTATGTTCATTAATTAATAGTTTTAAGAACAATGCTTTTTTCGGGTAATTTATTTCACCTTGGGTTACATTATTGATTATTGGAAATTTTCAAATCAGACCAGCTATTCCTGAGATTTTCGCTTTGAAAGAAACAAACACTGTTCAGCTTTATTATATTAAATTAGATTTTTGAAACCTGAATGAAGAAGAAACATTAATTTTATCTTTATATATTGAACAGAGTAAGGATCAAGGAAATATTTTTTTTTTGGATTAGGTACGTTATAGTAAATGTATATTGTATGGGGGTATTATCAGTGGCGTGCACAGAGATTTGGGGTTGAATAAACACAATATGTATGAAAAATAAAATAAAAATTTTCATAATTTCCTCGTCTAAACCAAAAACTCATATTGAGATCTTTGAAAAGTATTAAATGATTACAATTTTAAATGAAACTCATATTTTTATTATTTTTAACGGGCACACGAGATGTCTGCCGTGATCACGGTTGCTGCAAAGTAATCGAAACGTTGGGAGTATGTAGTTTTTAAACATAATACACATAGTAATCAGAAAATATTAATTTCATTTAAACATTGATAATATTCGACCATAATGTTACAGCAGTCCGATCAGAACGAACACATATCTATATACTTTATGAATCTCTTAGCTATCTCTGAGCCATGAAAGTACCTTAAAACGATTACGATCTGTTCATCACAGCATTATAAAAGATACAAACGTTCTGATTATTATCATTTGAAAACAAAAAATGAGACAAACAAAATAACTTAGGTATTTGTGTGTACTCAATCTGCTAACTAATTTAAAATATCATAATACTTTTTAAAACGAATAACGTTAGCTTTCTTTAAGTTCAATTTCAACTGGTCACACACTTTGAAATGTAAACATTTATTTTAATTTTATCATCAAACGACAATACTGAAAATCTACTCGTAAATAATTTCAATTAACACATATCGTAAGCACAGAGTTCACAACAGCTATAATTTTCCATAATTCGTTAATAAATTAATCCACTGATTACTAATTAAAACTTATTCATTAATTTCTTAGAAGGATTAACGACAAAATTCAATAATAGTAAAATGGGGAGAAGTATATGAACAGTTTATGGACCAATCAGAGAGTCCCGTTTCATTAGACAATTAACGGACTTTCTACGACATTTTAAACATACAAACAATTCCTGCATACATATACGAGAATTGTAGATCATCTTTAGGATTTTTTGTATGGAAAATAAGCAGAGAGTGGTTGTGCATACCGTCGCTCTGGCTGCATAGCGGCGCTAGCAGTTGGCAGCGGCCGATCGGAAATATTTCGTCTTTACATTGATAGATGACACTTATTAACAAATCATGAATTAAATGTATTTTAAATTACTGCTTACATTTGTATTTCGTAATGTATGATTTAAAGGTTGTAAGTAAGAATTAAATAATATATGTTTAGTTGTTATATGGGTATGCAGTGCTTACATGCATCTATGGTGTGCATGTCATTGGGTATTACATATAGTAATTTACTTTGAAATTAAGTAAGAATTTGAGTTCTAGTATAATGTATAATCTGTGCAAGGAAATAATTATCCCAAGCATATCGTATAATATGATGATTGATGAATAACATACTATGAACAACATGTGTTACAAGTGGCGCCATCCATGCCGTACTTATTATAATGTACTATAATAATAATTAGAATTATTTTTATGATTGATTATAATTAATTATAATACTGAACCATTGTAGTTTTGTTTTTTCAGGCTTTTTGTAGGACATTACTGGAAGAAACGCTTAATATTAAGATTCAAGACTGAAACTGTACCTTAAACACATGTAAATGCATAATAAAGGGAAAATTTCAAATGAAACAAAAATATATTTTGTGCTCTTTATTCAATTTTAACAGTTAGTATAATGATCTTATTTCAGTCATCGTTAGTTGTCACTAGTGATCTGGGTTACAAATATCTTAGATACATTTTTTAAATTTCGCATGCAATTTAACACTATTGAATGTTGGTACGAACAATCAATCACACCAATCCGACATTTATTATGTTATCGTTATTGTAAAAATTTATTTGTAACTATTTCATTCATTGCAATTTTTATCGTTTCAATATACCTTAATATTATTATCGAATAGATATTCTTCTACCACTCTTAAATGTCCTTTGATTGAAAGCAATATAAATTTATTCTAATAAAAAAAATCACACAAATAAAATATAACTTTATTCACATAAAATGTTAACCAACAACATATTACACTTAAAATAAAAATAAATAATACAGAAAACAAAATAAAGTGGAATGTAAGGTTAAAGTTGTGATGTTATACCTATCGATTTTTCTCTTAAATTACATTAATATTTTTTAAAACTATAAATTCTCGAACCCATACATGAGTAGCACTAACAGAATCATCTAATATTACAACATATTAGTCTAGGACTTGAAACAATGTATAAATAAACATAATTTCCCATAAACTCAATGAATTATGCTAGGCATATAGAAATTCTATAGAAACGAAGGTACATCGGTAAATATTTTTTAAATCTATTTCGTATAACTTATAATAAATCTATTTAAAATAAACTAACAATCGATATACGAAATGAATTGATCTAGATAATTTTTTTATATATATTTTTTGTAACATTTCTTTAAATGTGCATGATATAAGTAAGACATACATTTTTTAATAAATAATTATGTTTAATATTTATATAGTAACACTTTAAATGTCAAACAAATAAGTGCTACTCGCACGCCGTTTCACACTCCTATAATTAATTATTATTACTTTTATACTGTATAATAAAACTACATTTATAATAATATATCTTAATACTATGAAATTTTTTTTAGAAGATTTGAAAACATTTTTTTTAACAATGAATTGATATACTCCCGAATATCATTGTCACTTACATTCTAAGTGTGACATCGAAATAATAAGAAGCTTTGCAAATTAAATGTGCAAGAAAAATATTGAAGAAACTCTACTATAAACTATTATTATATATTAGATTTCTTGTATTACAATGAAGGTAACGTAAATATATATAGATATAGATAAGGTAAGTGCTTAAAATAGTTCGATTAGGGAAACATTTACATGTAGAATGTATTTAGACATATCTTTATATAGTAAAATGATATTCAATGATGGTAAAAACCAATCACTAGTACTGTTTGTGGCTGCACAGAGAATTGTGGTTACACTGAAACTGTTTGTTTATATAAAAAAAATTGCCACAAAATTATGATGACTGACAATTATCTGTATAATGTAAACAACATATTCCACAGCCATAAGTAATTATTTTCCATTAATGTATATTTTCCATTAATTCCATAATCAATGTTGCAATTTTTGTGGCAAGTGAAAGAAGATGCGAGTTGAAAAATCTAGAAAGTTCTCAGCAACCCTGTGATTTCTAAAAATGTGATAAGATTAAGAAGGTTTTCCAACTAAGAAACCTCTTTTAGGTTTAAATAAATCAAATGTTTGTACTGATGGTTTTAAATTAATATGATTCATGATTATTCGATTTTAATTATACTAAGAATATATTATGTAGTGTCTTAGTTGGATAACCATAACATTAGCTATAGTAGGTAGGATAGACCTTATAATTAAATTTTGAAGTAAACTTTTGAGCTACAATACACTCTAAAGAGTTATTCCATGTAAATTATTAACTAATGTATATTTATGTACATTGTTCTAAAACTTCAAGTCCACAAGATGTTAAACCATTTTCTCAAATGTTTTTGGCACAAAAAGTGTATTGAGCGTTGTACCAAAACAAATTATATCTTTGATAATAAACACAATTATACTAAGTAACAATCAAATAACAACTATCACATACATAAATTTATTCTGTAATACTTTAAGTAATGAAAATGTCTTTTAATAATGGATACAATGAAAACAATACAAATTAAGTTCTTAAGGTGTCTTGTGCTAAGTGCCTTTGACATTTATCCAACAATATTTCCATCAATATTTTATCTTTAATCAAATAGTATGCAACACAGTCTGAACCACTAGTTCAAGATATAACATGTGACTATTTTAGAAAGTATTCTTCTTTTGAATTATTAAATTAAAATTCAAATACAAAAAAAAGTTAAAAGACCATGGCACATACTTTAACAACAATAAAGAAAAAATAATACTGGCACTATATAAAAGAAGTGAAATTTCAAACGCAGAATGAATGAAACAGAAGAATTATAAATTGTATTTGGAACTGTTGACGTAGCTCACAGATAGTAATCGGTAAGTCAGTAGACCCAGGAGACGGGTACCCACTGTGGTGTGGAACGCATCCTAGCTAGTGCCGCCTCCAGCTGGCCGAGTGTGTCGTCAATGTCATTGTTGACTATCGACATGTCGAAGTAATGGCCGTATGTACGGCGTAATGTTTCAGACTCGCGGGCGAGCACCTCCAACGAACCGTCGTACTGGAATATACAAATGAATAGTTTACATTGAGCATTTAATAATGAACTTTATTGTGGTATGATAAGAATTTTATTGACTTAGTTTGTTTAACGGACTTTTATGTTTAGACTGAGCAAAGAAGTACATATTTTGAAATAAGAAATTTAATCTCAATGTTTTATGCAACATTATATTATATGCTTAGTAATACTTTATTATCTTGTTTAGCAATGAGAAGAAACTAAAGACTATTTTCTTAGAAATCTATAAGAAACATGTACATAGTTATACCACACTAACATCAGCGACATTGTTCAGTGAGGGTGCGGCCACGAAAACAACGTATGGCGCGAACTCCGCTGTTCGTAGTATTTTAAGAGCTTGTGGCTCCACATCCAATATGGCTATGCGACGCTCAGAATGTATGCGCCGGATCGTCTCTAGTTTGGTTCCGTACATCGCATCCTCGTGGGTACCTTGAATAAAAATAATATAATATAAAAAAAAACATTCTTATTAAATTGTATCAATTGAAGTATACAATTAAGAACTTAATGGGTCACAATCTAATTTATATACATTTAACATTTTTTAGAATAAAAACGTCATACATTAAAATGTGCGTTTAATTTCCTATGCTTCGTATCTTTCGCATTAATCGATAATAATTAATCTATGAATTATTCTATTAAGTATAAATCTTGATGACTGTAAACATTTCTTATTGAGCGTTAATATTTTGTATAGACTAATAATTTTTAAGTAATATAACCGTCATTACCATATTCGAGGTATTCGTTAGCCGCTATATCAGCCATCATCTCGTCGTGAGTAACGAAGTAGTAATGTCTACCGTTTTCCTCATCAGCTCGAGGGGGTCTGGTGGTGTCTGAAATAAAAATATGTAAAGGTTAAGTTAAGTAATTCCTATAATTTACACTTACGGACTAAAATTCTAAATTTAAGGAGGGATATGCAGCATTATCAATTAAATATACAGGGTGACTGGTGAATTACTATCGATACTTGAGGATGTGATATTTGACGATCATATATGACAAAATAAAAATTAATATAACATAAATATTAATAAACTTCTAAGTAAAGTTAACCAAAAGTTATGTAATTAATTACGCATCGTGTGAACACCCTACAGATTAGATATACACACACACACACACTCGCGCGCGCGGCGTGGTGTTGTATCAGCACGCCGCCGCACGCGTCCACACTTGGAACACTTGGAACGTGTCCACACTTTATTTATTTATACGGAAATTTGGTCAAAAATTAAGTACCTATTTTTTTTTTTACATAATTCGAATGAGAATCATGTACCGAGTATTCTCCTTAAATATTGATAGTAATTCACCAGTCACCCTGTATATAATTTGAAAGCTTTTTCTTAATTCAGATTGGAATCGTGAAAAACTTTGCCAATGTCACCGTTTTTATTTGTAGGAAATTAAAAATATTTGTTGACATAAATGACATTGACAATCTGAATTTGTAACATAATGCAAAGGTAAAATTTCATAATTATTATGTTAAAGTATGTACTTCTAATTTTACATCTATTTTTTTGTTAGGATACGTATTTTTTTATATTTTCACTTTATATGTATATTAAAAACATAAATTTTGTTTGTTAGAATAGATATAATTTTTATTTTATTCCAACTGCTAACATCGTTTACTCAGTATGTCTTATATGTTTTAAATAATATAAATCAACATCATTGATAAAATTTGCATTAATATAGACAGGCATTTGAACAAAATTAGTTTCTTGTTGTATCACGAAGACAATTCTTTAACGGAATAATAATATATTATCTATATATATAAAAGAAAGTCGTGTTAGTTACTCCACTTATAACTCAAGAACGGCTGAACCGATTTTGCTGAAAATTGGCAGGGAGGTAGTTTAGAGCCTGGAAAATGCAAACTTTTTATCCCGTTCGACAGCATTCCCGTGGGACTTGACATGAAACGTCAATCACTATAAAACGTGGAATAACGAAACAATTGACAGCTATGCGATTGACGTATAATGACATATATGTATATATGTAATTTAGTATTTGCGGGATAAATTTAGAAAACATTGTTTATCACATGGGCGTTATATTTTGCGTGTTCACGAGTTTGGAAACCATCCGCTTTATTTGTGTTAAAATTTGACCAAAAAACAAAAAATGTAGTTTTCAAAGGACCACTTCAATAAAACGGAAAGTTTGCGGACACGTACATATAACGCTTCGATTCGGTATCTACTTTGGATTCACTTTCATTTACTTAGAGAAGTTCAATTAAATAACACTTCATTTTTGTAATCGAAAAGAATTCATTACTATTGTGAAATGAAACAAAATTTTCCTTTTCAAATATAAAACAAAAAAAATTCTTCATCTTTTAATCACCAAACGAAATGTTATATAAAAGCCTTCTGGTGGCGAAACGGAGTTCGCAGGGTTTACTACTTTATAATATAAACGAAATGAATTCAAAAAAAAAAACAACTAGTATTTAAATGTCACAGACGTTGTAATGTCATGTGTAAGATATCATTCCGATCAGGGATTTGGGTGAGAGTAATAATTCCATCTTGATACGGATCATGGGTTTCTACAATAAGCCCTTGTTTACAACCAATACAATTAAAACAAATATGATGTATCAGAATTTTACTATCTTCATAAATCATTCGACTTGTGTTATCTGACAGGACAACTGTCAAACAAGTGACAGTTATTTGAAAAGTGACTATCAAAGAATACATAAAACAGTTTTAATAGATGTAGTCGTGAACCTCAAATTTTATAATGTTCTGTCAATGCTTTAGAATTTTTAATGTGAGAACCTTCCAAGAATTATATGAAAGCGTTTAAAAAAGCCTGAAAGACATCTTTAAAACCCTTCTGAAGTTATGCGTGATCCGAAAAATAAAATTCATTCTACATATATAAAATAATCTCATATATTTTCCATAAATCTATGTCTGTAATCTATCAACTGAATGATTACTGAATATTCGTTTTCACATTTAATAACTATTAATATGAAACATAATACTTTAACAAATAGGTCATAGACAGATAATAAAATCATGAAATGCCTTTATAATAAAAAATAAAACTTCGCTCATAAAACACAAGGCTCCACGTATAATAGGGTGACCATGAACTAGTAATGTCTTTGCTATTTATTACGTACTTAGGTCACAGATATTGATTTATTGCTTACAAAATCTGGTATAATTCCACAAATTGGAACATCATTAGATATATAATTTTTTATAAAAAAAATGCTTTATTTGTAACATTTGCTTTTTCATCATATAATAATTCGAAAAAACATTTGATGTTTCGTTACTAAATCAAAGAATAAAAAAAAAACAAAACAAATTATTTTGATCAGTTTTACTGTAGAAAATGTTCACTAATACCCATATAGACGTTTCTGTAAAACATACAATCCAAAACATCTGTTTTCTGCATTAAATTTATGAAATCATTGTGAATTGTACTTAAATAATATTTAAAATGTATGGAGTAACTCACGTGGTATGGGATAGGCGTACTGATCTGGATACCGGGCGATAAGTGTGTTCTTGATATGACGACGACCCACTCCGTGAGCTCCGAGCAACACTATGGTCTTCCTTTGGAAGGCTGTTAAAGATATTATATTATAACAGAAACCTATTAAAAAATAGCGTTTCGTGTAAAGTACAGTCTATCAAAAAAGATTTTTTTAAAATATTTTCGTAAATTTACGAGTGTTTGAAAAGAACACTTATGTCTCTGTAGGATGAATCTCTAATTAGTTTATACTAGTTTAGATGAACAATTATTGCTATAAGATACGTGAACCTTTTGGATATAATAAAAAGCTAACCTAATAACCGTAATAGATACTATATTCTGAGTTCAACTTCAAATTCCTATAAGGTTAGGTTTTGTAAGCTTTGGAACGTTGTAAAAGAATTCAGATAGGTTTAATTTCAGTATAATACAAAAATTTTGTCTCAAAACTAAATGGACTGTAAATGCCCAAGGGGCGAAATAGTTCGAACGAAAATAAAGTGCTGTAAATCATAATAAATATAACAAGAACAAAACTTACAAGGAAGTTTAACAACTTCTTCGTATGTTACAACATCTAGTTGATCGAACACGGCGTTGTGTTTCGCCAAATATTTGTCTTTGGCCTGTTTCTTTTTTCTTCCGAATATAGAACAATTCACTGTAACAAATGTTTGGAAAACGATATTAGCAAAAGTTGTCGCATAAAATAAATGGTACTTTGAAATTTACAAAGATAAATGTCAAGCGCTGTAGAGTTAATTTAATTAAGTTAATTAAACCATACGTTCTGATATAAATCAATATCTCGTGGTTCGCATTAATTAACTTTCCACGAACACTGCTGTTGAAACAAAGTTATATAAGTAAAGCAAGTAAAAGAAAATTTGATTATATATTTTTTTAATAAATAATTTATTGAATTAATCATATGTATATTTATAATGATATACATGAAAGATCTGCTTTCTTTATGTTTTTGAAGCTTATTTCGGAACCGCTAAACCAATGAATCGATTAAAAACAAATTTAGTATTGACTTAGATAGAACTATGAAACTATGTAAAATTAAAAAGTAGTCAATACAGAAAGATAGAATATTTCATATGACACAAAACACCAAGATTTTTTTAAATTATAAAAAGTTTACGAAGTAACATAAAATCAGTGATAATTAACTTCAATCTTTTATGTTTTCTTTAGGATAGTTACAGTATGAGAAGCACTGATCTAGTAAATGTTTAATCTTTACAAATATAATACCTGTGTTCTCACATCCGTCGGTATGGGACACGCATCCCTCAGCTCCTAGCGGCACAACATTACAACAGACATGCATGATATATGGACGAACTATAGGGATGCTTGGCCAAAGGGTAAATTAGTCATAGGAGAATTAAGACGAGAGGACGTAAGAAAAAAGGGTACGTAGCCATTAGCGATGAGTATGACTCAGGTTACATATAGTGGGGATTTTTGGTGGTCAGAATAATACATCCAAATTTATTAAGTTTTATTAAGTTATAAAAACGAGCGCAATGGATTTTAATATTAAAATGTTATTAATTGATAGAAAGTACTCAAATACGATAAATTCCCAAGTTGATCGAGCAAAGTATAAATTTCTTTAAGAAAATTCTGTGTCGTTATAACATAAGCTCCCTAGATGTTTTGAAATATATTTTGTTTGAATTATTCATAGATTTTCTACTAAATAATAAACATTATGTACAAACTCTAGGATTATATAGCAGTTTTATTTACTTTGGGAATATAATACCATGCGCATTTAGGAACATAACATTATATTTCAATCCATGGGTGGGTCATTTTATTTATATATTAAAATAAATCAAAAACATTACATACCAACTGTAGATTTGTCCATAAATGTTTATGTTTGAAAGAAAAATATCAACTGTTAATGTACATAAGACGAAAATTTTGCTATCAAAATAATTATAAATAAAAGATTTTATTACCAAGAAACCGAAATGCTTTAAATAAAAGTCCGATTAAAGATCCCGTTAAAACTACTCTCATTGTATTTGTTAAGATTCTGTACATCCAAATCAAATGATATCAAAACGACCAAGGTGATATTGCTTAATATCGTAAGAATAAAGTTTGTTAAATATCACCATTCAAGAAAACTGGATACAAATGAGCTTATTAACGTGATTTGAATAACAAGTCGAAGATAATAAATTAGGAGGTATGAGTAATTAGCTCAAAACTTACAGAGAAATTCGCTGAAATACTGTACTCAAAACTCTAAAAGCCTCAACATGTTAAATGTAAAGATGGTTTCAATGTAACACACATAACTAATATCGCAAAAATGATTAGACAATTAGCAACTCATCAATAAAAATATCATCAAGATATATCAATACATACAACTGTATACTACTGAATATATATCATTGAAATTATTATAAAATGATCCGTCCGGCCACATAAAACTGGCAATCAAGCAGAAAAACATCAATATACCCTACCAGCTAGACACAGAATCACAATCTATAGTGTTATGGTATTTGATAATAACCTTGATCGGTGTTACTTCTTTCTGCGGCAGCACAAGCGGCTCGCCACTCTTGCAGTTCAGGACTCGGTATGAGACCCGCTGATCCACCTGACGCGTCTTTACGTGCTTGCCACCAGTGGGAGTCATCCTTGCTGATTATCTGAAAAAGGATTGTATTGTGTGAAGGGTCCTTTAGAATTGCTTTGTTTAAGTCCTGATATTTGATCTGTATACCTAAAAGAGGAAAATATTTTGACACGAATCTAAAATATTCAACCACACGAGTTAAATACACCAAATAAAGATAGAAAACCGCAAGAAATTTACCTGCAGTATATCTCCTGTGTTGAACGCTATACCAGCTTGAGCGCAAGGTATTAGTTCATCCTCTAAGGGATCGTAGTCAAACTGCGCTCTAACAAATATCTGAAATTTATTTAAATTATTACAAGTTAATAATGGTTTTAAATTGTTTATGCGCATTATGAATGACAAAATGATTATATGGTTAAGCACAATGTATGTAATATATACAGATAATTGTAATCCAAAAACAAATTAATTTAATTTGTAAATAAATGTAAAAGAAATATTTATTTAGTACAAAGATTTTCTCAATAGAAATATGACATGATATTTTTTAAAATAGAAAATGTAAATAATATATCATTTTAATATTCGTAACAAGGTTTATATATGTGATAGTGATGATGGTATGTGATAAGTGATTGGTGTAAAGGTGAAGCGATGTCAAACAACAACAAGCGCACAGAAACGGGGAGACCGTACCAGCCATGCCCGAATGACGAACACAACACAAAAATAACACAAATGACACAACACATACGTGATAAAACACAATAAATTAAAGTAGCAACGGCTCTTGTAATCGCTACTTACTAGCACGGGCGAAGGCTTAATCCGGAATAGCTAGTTAGAAAATAAAAAAAAAAGATTCATTTTAGTAAACTGTTAAACACAATGCATTATGGACAAGCAGTAGATGAGAAATTTATGTGCGCTTGTCGAATTTTAATAAACTACGACTTCGTATCGAGTTTCATACCACGTTAGTGCCACACAACTATATCAAATAAAACATTAGAAAACACTACACATTTTATAGTTCTATTATCAATAAGGTTGCCTTCTTTAAATCAAAGTGTTAGCAAAATGCACAACATTCCTATAACACAGAGCTTTAGGGGTTGCCAAGAGCGTTCTACTGACTCAAATGCCATTATGTTTAATAGACTCATTACCTCGCATGGCGGAGGAGCCGATCGGTATGATGGCACGATCTTGAACGTCACTGAACCACGTGCCTCACGCTGCGAACAAGTTGTCAAGGATTACTCATATAAGTCTCCATTATATATGTATTTTGTTAAGTACCTACATAAAAAAATATACAAACTATTATTTAATTAACAAAAAATATTGAAAGGCAGTAAACGCTGATTTTTCGAAATTACTTTTGTAAAAGTTTCAAAATTTAACAAAAACATCAAAGAACTTCCACCCTTTATTTAAGGATTGGAGCCTGTTATAGGTAAAATACAATTGATTACCAGCATCCTTTGAAGTTGGGCGACGGATTGATTAGCCACTGGTGTGCCATTAATTTCCTTGATCTCATCTCCCACGTGCAGAGTCGCCTGTCTGTGTATCATTCCACCGTGCATAATCCGAGCAACGATGCAACGTCCGTCATCAGCCAGTTTTAATGTAATGCCCTGTAGTATAGGCAGTTTTCTAGTATTTCTGTCATTTTTTTTAGTCACAGAATTTTTCATGATCAACAACTAAATAATTTAGAACCAAACCATCGTAACTTTAGATCGTAATTATAGTTTGTGTTTATTATTCAGTCAGCAAATACATATATGAAATCAATTTGGATATATACAGCACAGTTTATACAAGTAGCCATAGATTTAAAAAAGACATAAGGCTTTGTGTTCTAAAAGTACCGCAAGTTTTTTTGCGAAAATTCCGTCTAAATACTACAATTTTAATACCAAAAGTGTTATTCAAATACGATTTTAAATATACAATAGCTTGCTTTGGTAAAATGAGCCTTTCGGGATGTTGCCCGTCCGACCGCTCTGGTAAAAAGATAGACTGTAAAGAGGACAGACGCAAACAACCCAACCGAAGCTTTTATCCCATCTCTCTGGAGCTGTGATATGAATAATCGATACAGGTAGCTTACACTACAACCCAAAGATCTTTCCGTTAAGATCGTATATCTTTTAGAGCATTTACACGATCCAATGCTTAAAGGAAGGATTCTTATTTTACGAATTTCTCGAGAGGACCATCTATTTTCGTGGTAGATTTTCGGCACCGTTTTTCCAGACACCGGTTTAAAATTTAAATTCATGTAATCTATTATCACCTTGAAAATATATCAATTTTTGCTTCTTACCATTGGTTCATCGGTATTCTTCTGTAATTGTAAGATCCGCACTCTAGTCACGTTCTCAAATTCTGGCTCAGTATCATCTTCTTCTTCGGGTGGTTGTTGAGCTCTGCCATTGACTGGCGGCGGAGACGCACGGAGCGACTCCTTGCTATAAACCTCGCGAGCGACCACATCATGAGCTTGCAGAAGGGCCTGGGAATTAAATATCATGATTATTTATCATACATTGTTCCATACATATATATTTTAAATAAACTTATATTATGGTAACACTTAATATTCATATATATTAGTGTTTCAGAACCATCGATGGTTTGGCTATCGATAGTTGACCTCAAAAACTATTCAGAATATCGATAGTATCGTCACATGGTAATACTATCGATATTATCGTGAGTATCAATAGCCCTTTTTAAACAATACTATTGAAAGTGCTAATACTTTGGATACTATCCATAGATTATATTGACTATCGGCTTTACCTTTACTGTCGAGTTAATATCGATGGCCTATCAATAGTGGACTATCAATATGCAACACTAATCTGTATACCTATTACTTACTTTGTAACAGCACATAGCAGTTCTCGTTTCTTCTTTAGTTTCCTCTGAGGAAAGCAAGCGTTGAATGCCTCATCCTTTATATCATTTTCAAAGTATTATTATGTCCTCTCATGATATTTTGTATTTGCTTTAACTGTTTGCGGCTTTTCCTCTTTCCTATAAAGAAATTTAGATTGAACTTTAAGAATCTTATTAAAACACAACAATAATTTTTTTTACAAACTATTTTCAAGAATTTATTTTTGTTTATAGTTTAAATGTTTAAAATTTTATTATGAAGGATTATTATTTTCCACAAAAATCAAACCTCTCTGTTCACAATTTCCTTCTTATAATAATTATGTTACATAAAATCTAGAGTAACTTCATACATTTCCACTTCATACTTCCTAATATAAATATTTAACTTACATAGTTTCATCTTCAATATTAAAACTCTCATCTGGTCCTACAATTTGTATTTCTTTTTTATCATCTTTTTGATCATCATTTTCATCGACAGTTTGTATTGGCTGTTGATTTTCAATTGAATCATCTAGTGTTAAACCTGTAATTAGTATATTTATATGAGTATTATTAAAAAAATATGTAATTTATTTATGACCATTTACTCATGGAAAAAATTACTATGAAATATATTTTTAAATTTAAATTGTAAATTTAAATAAATAAAGTGCTTGCTATAGATCCACATGTAAGTAAAAATTATTAATAATGCAATAAAAATATTCTAATAAGACTATGATATATTATCTTAATGAATTATGTTCCTCAGAGTATACTTTTTAATAAAATTAACTTATATCACTTTTGCATACAAAAATACTAATTAATTATACTTTACATTTATCAATTACTCTACTAACCAAAATTCCTTCCTTCTCAAGCCAACATTTTGTCACGAAAAGTCACAAGCAGATACTATCAAATATTTTAAGTATAGGAATAAAATTCATTAATACCTACCATCTTCACTTTTTATCAAATCACTTAAATTCAACTCTGGTTGTTCTGTTGTTGGTGTGTTTAAACTAATTTTGTCCTCTGGCATCACTTCTGTTATTAATGGGATAGCAAAAGAATGGTACCTTTAAACATATATAAACATATATTATTTAAATTATTTATAATATTACATGTAATACTTATTTGATTATATAATTTTATTTAATACCTTATTACTGGTCCGGTTATAGTTTTCTTTATTGGTCTTATTTTTTTCTTTTCTAATTCACTTTGTTCAAATCTCTCTGCAAATAATGAAAGCATGTTAAAACCATATATTATATGACCAAAAAAAATTTATTATGTTGGATTTATACAATCAGTTTACTTTATTAAATGTTGATCATATATATTCTTAGAAACAAGATCAGAATTGATTTTATTCAAAAAACAATATTTCATATAATTTCACCATTAACTTATCGAATTTACACAAAACTGAAAACAATTATCTTGAAATGAAATCTGAATATAACGCAAACAAAAGATTTACACACTCTGAAAATGTACAAATTATTAATCTATTACAATTACCCACTTTATAAATGAAAAGAGAGTTCTGATATCCTATGACAACTGATTATATGTGGTTCACCCATCTATTTCCTTCTCATATTAATTACAAATATTAAACTCTTACCCAAACTCTTTAAATTCTCTTTTTCAGTTATAAGAGCTTCTTCAAGCAGCTCCTCCTGAGTAAGAACTCTTTCTTCAACCTTCTTCGGTTTTTTCTTTTTAAGTTCCGATCTTATTTTAATCCGCTGCTGTGTTTCAAGGGATTTGACGGCTGTGCTTTGTCTTATAGATTTTCTTTCTGTGAATATCATAAATTAAAATTGTATACTTTATTTATGAAAAATCCCTACTAATATAATAAATGCGAAAGTAACTCTGTCGGTCTGTCTGTTACGCTTTCACACCTAAACCACTGAACTAATTCTAATGAAATTTGGTACAGAGATAGAGTTGACCTTGAGAAAGAACATATGATAGTTTTTATACCAGACTTTTAAAAGGTTCTCTTTGAAACGTGATATAACAGAACTCCATGCGGGCGAAGCTGCGGGCGGAAAGCTAGTAATTAAATATATATAATTAAACTGTACCAATAGATGTATCCATTACTGATATTTCATTTGACTCGACTTTTTCTGATTCCTCTTTTGGTTTCGGCTCTTTTGTCTTTTTCACTATTACCTTTTTACTCTTTTCTGCTTTTCTTTTTCTATTTGGATCCTGTAAATAAAAATACGACATTAAAATAATTTTTAATTATCAGACATTAGGTTCTAACTCTAAAAACACTAGTCAAAGACACTGTAACAAAAACTGAAGTTTTACGAACACATTATTTAATGAACAATTTTCAAATTTCAATACAATCTTATGTTATTATGATAATCTACATAAAATTTGTGGACAGGGTAATGGATCAAGTATATTCAAATATATATAGCTAAATTCAGTGCTAAAAATTTATAAATCATAGCAGTACTTGTTTTACAACACACACTAAGCTAAATAGTCAGATATAGTAGCAAACACCAACAAACCTTATAACCCTTAGTGCTAACTTTCTGTTTAGTTTTTTCTTCGGTTTCCGTGTCAGATATCGGCTGGTCAGTCTCATCAATATCAAAATCAGAATCCACTTCATCATCAACCTCTTTCTCTTGGCTGAAATATTAGAGTACAAATTCTGCATAATATTTATCTCAAAATGTTATAACTTGTATCAATAACTGGGAAACAATTAAAATTATATAATTGTTTATTGTAATAACATACAAACAGATAACTTTCTGATAAATAATAACATTTGAAAGATTTTGGCGCCTCTAAAATTATGTTAACAAAATGTAATTAATTGGAATTCTTATAGTATGATATGAACACAGAGTTCTTATAAATATAAGGAATACTTGAATAGTTACATATAATCATTGTCTTCATGGGCTTCTGTAAAGCCGCCGTAAGTTGTTTTATAGAAATCATCTTCTTCCTCCTCATCGAGTAGTTTTGCCATACGATTTCCTGCATTGGACCGACGTTCTCGTTGCGCCATATTTCTATTTTAATACTGAGACTTACTAGATAAAATAAGGTTTGGATTGATTAACGTTAAAATATAAATATTATTAATCGTTTGTTTTACACAAGTTATGACCATAACAAGCTGTCAACAGGCTTGACAGTTGACACCTAATCACCGAATCGGCAGATTATATCTACAAAAGATTAAATATTATCTATAATTATATTTCGTTCCTAAATTATTTAGAATATTTATATGTTTTTAATTCTGATAGTGATTTCCCGTTATTTATTAAAAAATATTTTTTAAATTATCAAAATTATAACACTGAATTGATCCGTAAGAAACACAACAAAAAAAAATTAAATAAAGTAGAGCACTACTTATAACAATTAAAAATTCAATTAAAATAGTAGACAATATTTAAAGAAACTTAACAAATGCCTTTTTGTTGGTGGAAAGACTTAGTTTTTATTGCAGTAAAAGGACATAAGTAATACACTTTTTAAAAAACTAGTAAGTTTACAGAAAAGTTTATCAAGCTTAAGTGACGTACATGTATGTCATAGTTGCTTTGCAAAAGTTTTCTCTTCAAACAAATATGAAACTCCAAGTACTCCTAGCTCTTGACCTAAACAAATATGAAACGAATCTACTGGGATCGCCTTCGACACACGTACTCGGTACTAATAATGAATTGACGTTAGTTCTGAACAGATCTGCATAGTCGTTTATTAGATTGTAGAGGGATTTGACTGTTATAACTAAAATAACTATGGTCTTATATCTCGTTTTAAGTGTAAAGTAGTTGATCTCATTCATTTCTTAATTTAAAAAAATGTTTATCTTATTTTATATCTTTAAATGGAATCTCGGAATCGGCTCAAACGGTTTGCATGAAATTTTGTATATGGGGGGATTCGGGGGCGATAGATCGATCTAGCTAGGAATCATTTTTAGAAGAGTTCATTTTATGAAAAAAAAAAACAATACAAAAAGGAGGCCTTTGAGTAGTCTCAATTTAAAAATGACTTTTCCTGACATCTATTGGCGAATTATTATACTACTTTTTGCTAATTGCCTTTACTTATTGCTTTAACGACACAACAGCAGATGGCGTTGTTAAGCAACAGGAAGTCAATGAGAGTTTGTTTTGAGTTTAGACTAAAAAAATTATTGTTGATTTATATTGTTTTGTGTCTTCTTAACGTGTTCACTTAAAAATGGCTAAACGAAATGAAAAAAAAAACATAATAAAATTATGAATGACATCAAATTAACACTTATTATTTTCTTAGAGAATTCAATGGTGACGTTACTCTCTTCAAAAACACCGAAATGTTATTATCTTCTATATATATAAAAATGGATTGCTATTCCTTAGTCTCGCTGAAACACGAGAACAGCTGAACGGATTTATCTTATCTTAGTCTTAAAATGTTTGTGGATGTTCAGGGATGGTATAAAAGGTGAAAAAAATTGATTCATCACTGGCAAAACCATAAAAACAGCCCCTTTCTATTTCCCATACAAACGTTTTTTTTGACATTAGATTTGACAACTAACTAATATGTCAATCATTCTGTCGCACTTCAAAACACGGAGATTTATGGCTGACAGGTAAACTCCAAAAATATAAATAAAAAAAAGGAATAGATATTTCTTGATTATAGGGCGATACAAAGTTCGCCATGTCTTCTAGTATCTGATATAAATAATAATATAGAGTCAAAAAATATTGATGTAACGTTTGTATTCTTTAAAGATTGGATTTACTGAACACCTCGTGTATGGCATTTAAAAGGTTCGTGTATTATCAAATAATTAAATACTGCGAAATTGACAACAGTAACCAAACAAAATATTTTTTATCTAAGATGTACTTTAAAAAAATGCATTACCGTTGCTATCTCTCATGAACACTACAAGAATGTAGTAAATAGATCATACATGACATCAACACTCGATACTTATTTGGTTACAACACTAATACCTACATTTTAAATAGCGCGACATCCGAATTAAACTGTCGAATTGAATAATTCAATAAGTTATAGAAGTTATTGGATACCACTTTAACGTGAAATAATTTACTTTGATAAGGATTAATATAATGCCAAGGTATAAAATAAAGAAGTTTTTAATGCGACGACATTTTAATTATTAAAAACAAACACTTATTGTGTTACCATAGTTAGACGGTTGGGGGCGCGATACTATTTGTATACAATTATATTTTCTCCAAAGTGTCAGTACATTGCTATGTTCTATAGTTAATAGTTTTAAGAATAATGCTTTTTTCGGGTGATTTATTTCACCTTGGGTTACATTGTGATTATTGAAAATTTTCAAATCAGACCAGCTATTCCTGAGATTATCACTTTGAAAGAAACAAACACTGTTCAGCTTTATTATATTAAATTAGATTTTTAAAACCTGGATGAAGAAGAAACACTAATTTTATCTTTATACAGGGTGACTGGTGAATTACTATCAATATTTAAGGAGAATACTCGGTACATGATTCTCATTCGAATTATGTAAAAAAATAGGTACTTAATTTTTGACCAAATTTCCGTATAAATAAATAAAGCGTGGACACGTTCCAAGTGTTCCAAGCGTGGACGCGTGTGGCGGCGTGCTGATACAACACTACGCCGCCACACGTGTGTGTGTGCGTGTGTGTATACCTAATTTTTAGGGTGTTCACACGATGCGTAATTAATTACATAACTTTTGGTTAACTTTACTTAGAAGTTTATTAATATTTATGTTATATTAATTTTTATTTTGTCATATATGATCGTCAAATATCACGTCCTCAAGTATCGATAGTAATTCACCAGTCACCCTGTATATTGAACAGAGTAAGGATCAAGGAAATATTTTTTTTTTGGATTACGTTATAGTAAATGTATGTATTATCAGTGGTGTGCACAGATATTTGGGGTAGAATAAACACAATATGTATGAAAAATAAAATAAAAATTTTCATCATTTCCTCGCCTAAACCTAAAACTTATTTTGAGGTCTTTGAAAGTATTGATTTCAATTTTAAATGAAACTAATATTTTTATTATTTTTAACGGGCACACGAGATGTCTGCCGTGATCACGGTTGCTGCAAAGTAATCGAAACGTCGGGAGTATGTAGTTTTTAAACATAATACGCGAAGTAATCAGAAAATATTAATTTCATTTAAACATTGATAATATTCGCCCATAATGTTACAGCAGTCCGATCAGAACGAACATCTATATACTTTATGAATCTCGCAACTACCTTTGAGTCACGAAAGTAGGTACCTACCTTAAAACGATTACGATCTGTTCATCACAGCATTATAAAAGATACAAAGGCAAACAAAATAACTTGGGTATTTGTGTGTACTCAACCTGCTAATTTAAAAATATATCATAATACTTTTTAAAACGATTACCTAACGTTAATTTAAAACGAATAACGTTAACTTTCTTTTAGTTCAATCTAAACTGGTCACACACTTTGACTTTACATTTATTTTAATTTTATAATCAAACTAGCTTTTGCCGCGACTTCGTCCGCGTGGAATAGTGACTTCCGGCAGATTTTTGGTTTTTCCCACATAGTTCCCGTTCTTGCGGGGTTTTCGGAATGGTTGAGTTCCCGTCGAATTTTCAGGATAAAACCTATGTTTTTTTTATTCACAATGAAGTACTCTTAACCAACAACATATTTATTTGTTTATTTGAATAAAGATTAATATTATTATGTTAATACAACTTAAACAAATCATTTCGACCAAATTAGGTACCATAAAAACGATTTTGGGAGTTAATCTTAAAAGATAGACATATACTGTCGCGGACTGTTTTTTAGGTCATTAAAAGAGCTATTATTCTTTAATACATATTTCTTGTGTATCTTGAACCGTTTTCAGAGGAAGGCTTCAAAGATGAAATAATTTCTCCCGTTTTTTACACATTTACCACTATATCTTTGCTCCTATTGGTCGTAGCGTGATGTTATATAGCCCACAGCCTTCCTCGATAACTGAACTATCCAACACAAAAAGAATTATTCAATTCGAACCAGTACTTTCGGAGATTAGCGCTTTCAAACAAACAAACTCTTCAGCTTTATAATATTAGTATAGATGACAATACTGAAAATCTACTCGTAAATAATTTCAATTAACACATATCGTAAGCAAAGAGCTCACAATTATAATGTTCCATAATTCGTTAATAAATTAATCCACTGTTTACTATGTAATTAAAACATATTCATTAATTTCTTAGAAAGACAAACGACAAAATTCAATAATAGTAAAATGGGGAAAATATATGAAGGGTTTACGGACCAATCAGAGAGTCCCGTTTCATTAGACAATTAACGGACTTTCTACGACATTTTAAACATACAAACATTTCCTGCATACATATTATGTATAAGAGAATTGTAGATCGTCCTTGAGATTTTTTGTATGGAAAATAAGCAGAGAGTGGTTGTGCATATCGCCGCTCTGGCTGCATAGCGGCGCTAGCAGTTGGCAGCGGCCGATAGAAAATGTTTCGTTTTTACATTGATAGCTGGCACTTATAAACAAATCATGAATTAAAAGGATTTTAAATGACTGTTTACATATTTTGTATTTCGTAATGTGTGATTAAAAGTGTGTAAGTAAGAATTAAATAATATATGTTTAGTTGTTATATGGGTATGCAGTGCTTACTTGCATCTATGGTGTGCACGTCACTGGGTATTACATATAGTAATTTAATTTGAAATTAAGTAAGAATTTGAGTTCTAATATAATGGTATAATCTGTGCAAGGAAATAATTATCCTAAGCATAGCGTATAATATGATGATTGATGAATAACATACTATGAACAACAACATGTGTTACAAGTGGCGCCATACGTGCCGTACTTATTAAAATGTACTATAATAATAATCAGATTTATTTTTATGATTGATTATAAATAAGTATAATACTGAACCATTTTAATTTTGTACTGGCATCATTTAAGTATCAGCTTGTATTTGAAAACTATAATGGCTTCAGGCTTTTTGTAGGACATTACTGGAAGAAACGCTTAATATTAAGAATCAAGACTGAAAATGTGCCTTGAACACATGCTAATACATAATAAAGGGAAAAGTTCAAATGAAACAAAAATATATTTTGTGCTCTTTATTCAATTTTAACAGTTAGTATAATGATCTTATTTCAGTCATCGTTAGTTGTCACTAGTGATCTGGGTTACAAATATCTTAGATACATTTTTTAAATTTCGCATGCAATTTAACACTATTGAATGTTGGTACGAACAATCAATCACACCAATCCGACATTTATTATGTTATCGTTATTGTAAAAATTTATTTGTAACTATTACATTCATTGCAATTTTTATCGTTTCAATATACCTTAATATTATTACCGAATAGATATTCTTCTACCACTCTTAAATGTCCTTTGATTGAAAGCAATTTAAATTTATTCTAATAAAAAAATCACACAAATAAAATATAACTTTATTCACATAAAATGTTAACCAACAACATATTACACTTAAAATTAAAATAAATAATACAGAAAACAAAATAAAATGGAATGTAAGGTTAAAGTTGTGATGTTATACCTATCGATTTTTCTCTTAAATTACATTAATATTTTATTAAAACTATAAATTCTCGAACCCATACATGAGTAGCACTAACAGAATCATCTAATATTACAACATATTAGTCTAGGACTTGAAACAATGTGTAAATAAACATAATTTCCCATAAACTCAATGAATTATGCTGGGCATATAGAAATTCTATAGAAACGAAGGTACATCGGTAAATATTTTTTTAAATCTATTTCGTATAACTTATAATAAATCTATTTAAAATAAACTAACAATCGATATACGAAATGAATTGATCTAAATAATTTTTTTATATATATTTTTTGTAACATTTCTTTAAATGTGCATGATAGTAAGACATATATTTTTTAATAAATAATTAAGTTTAATATTTATATAGTAACACTATAAATGTCAAACAAATAAGTGCTACTCGCACGCCGTTTCACACTCCTATAATTAATTATTATTACTTTTATACTGTATAATAAAACTACATTTATAATAATATATCTTAAAACTATGAAATTTTTTTTAGAAGATTTGAAAACATTTTTTTTAACAATGAATTGATATACTCCCGAATATCATTGTCACTTACGTTCTAAGTGTGACATCGAAATAATAAGAAGCTTTGCAAATTAAATGTGCAAGAAAAATATTGAAGAAACTCTATTATAAACTATTATTATATATTAGATTTCTTGTATTACAATGAAGGTAACATAAATATATATATAGATATAGATAAGGTAAGTGCTTAAAATAGTTCGATTAGGGAAACATTTACATGTAGAATATATTTAGACATATCTTTATATAGTAAAATGATATTCAATGATAGTAAAAACCCAATTACTAGTGTTGTTTGTGGCTGCACAGAGAATTGTGGTTACACTGAAACTGTTTGTCTTAAAAAAATGCCACAAAATTATGATGACAATTATCTGTATAATGTAAACAACATATTCCACAGCCATATGTAATTATTTTCCATTAATTCCATAATCAATGTTGCAATCTTTATGGCAAGTGAAAGAAGATATGAGTTGAAAAATCTAGAAAGTTCTCAGCAACCCTGTGATTTCTAAAAATGTGATAAGATTAAGAAGGTTTTCCAACTAAGAAACCTCTTTTAGGTTTAAATAAATCAAATGTTTGTACTGATGTTTTTAAATTAATATGATTCATGATTATTCGATTTTAATTATACTAAGAATATATTATGTAGTGTCTTAGTTGGATAACCATAACATTAGCTATAGTAGGTAGGATAGACCTTATAATTAAATTTTGAAGTAAACTTTTGAGCTACAATACACTCTAAAGAGTTATTCCATGTAAATTATTAACTAATGTATATTTATGTACATTGTTCTAAAACTTCAAGTCCACAAGATGTTAAACCATTTTCTCAAATGTTTTTGGCACAAAAAGTGTATTGAGCGTTGTACCAAAACAAATTATATCTTTGATAAATAAACACAATTATACTAAGTAACAATCAAATAACAACTATCACATACATAAATTTATTCTGTAATACTTTAAGTAATGAAAATGTCTTTTAATAATGGATACAATGAAAACAATACAAATTAAGTTCTTAAGGTGTCTTGTGCTAAGTGCCTTTGACATTTATCCAACAATATTTCCATCAATATTTTATTTTTAATCAAATAGTATGCAACACAATCTGAACCACTAGTTCAAGATATAACATGTGACTATTTTAGAAAGTATTCTTCTTTTGAATTATTAAATTAAAATTCAAATACAAAAAAAAAGTTAAAAGACCATGGCACATACTTTAACAACAATAAAGAAAAAATAATACTGGCACTATATAAAAGAAGTGAAATTTCAAACGCAGAATGAATGAAACAGAAGAATTATAAATTCTATTTGGAACTGTTGACGTAGCTCACAGATAGTAATCGGTAAGTCAGTAGACCCAGGAGACGGGTACCCACTGTGGTGTGGAACGCATCCTAGCTAGTGCCGCCTCCAGCTGGCCGAGTGTGTCGTCAATGTCATTGTTGACTATCGACATGTCGAAGTAATGGCCGTATGTACGGCGTAATGTTTCAGACTCGCGGGCGAGCACCTCCAACGAACCGTCGTACTGGAATATACATATTAATAGTTTACATTGACTATTTAATAATGAACTTTATTGTGTTATGATAAGAATTTTATGAACCTAGTTTGTTTAACTGACTTTTTGTTTGGACTGAGCAATATAATATGTATTTTGAAATAAGAAATTTTATCTTAATGTTTAATGCAACCTTATATTATATGCTTAGCAATAATTTATTATCTTGTTAAGCAATGAGAAGAAACTAAAGACTATTTTCTTAGAAATCTATAAGAAACATGTTTATAGTTATACCACACTAACATCAGCGACATTGTTAAGTGAGGGTGCGGCCACGAAAACAACGTATGGCGCGAACTCCGCTGTTCGTAGTATTTTAAGAGCTTGTGGCTCCACATCCAATATGGCTATGCGACGCTCAGAATGTATGCGCCGGATCGTCTCTAGTTTGGTTCCGTACATCGCGTCCTCGTGGGTACCTGAATAATAATAAAATAAAGATAGAAAATCACTCTTATTAAATTGAATATTATTAAATTGTAATTAAAAACTTAATAGGTCGCAATCTAATTTATATACATTTAACATTTTTTTGAATAAAAACGTCATACGTTAAAAATTACGTTTAATTTTTTATGCTTTGTATCTTTCGTATTGATTGATAATAATTAATCTATGAATTATTCTATTAAGTATAAATCTTGATGACTGTAAACATTTCTTATTGAGCCTTAATATTTTGTATATATTAAGTTTTATTAAGTAATATAATCATTGTTACCATATTCAAGGTATTCGTTAGCCGCTATATCAGCCATCATCTCGTCGTGAGTAACGAAGTAGTAATGTCTACCGTTTTCCTCATCGGCTCGAGGGGGTCTGGTGGTGTCTGAAATAAAAATATGTAAAGAAAAATATAATTTGCATCATATTACATCTTATAAATATATAAAGATTTTGGACTAAATTCTCAACTTAAGGCAGACGGGTATGTAGCATCATGAATTATTATTTTTTAAAGCTATGGCTTCTTTCCTTTTGGAATCCTGAAATATTTTGCCAATGTCAAAGTTTATATTTATTGGAAATTAAAAAAAAATGTTCATATAAATGACATCGACAATCTTAATTTTTAACAAAAAATCCAAAATTAAATGTTTATTACATGAAAGTGCTTCTGAATTCCTTCTCTTATTAGAATACCTAATTGTTTTAATACCTTTACTTTATATAAAAAATTGTGCTAAAGTTTTAGTTAACCCCCTTACAACTATATATAATAAATCACTTCAATCGGGAATATTTCCAGCTAAGTGGAAAGTTGCTCACATAACGCCAATTCATAAGTCTGGAGACATTAATAATGTATCTAATTACAGACCAATATCCATACTATCTACTTTTGGGAAAGTTTTTGAGTCACTAATTCAAAAAAAGTTGTATTCTCATTTAAAACCTTACTTTGATTCATACCAGCATGGCTTTTGTCCACATAAATCCACAACATCTAATCTAGTTAGTTACATATCTGATATTTCTGAAGCTGTGGATAAGAATAATGAGGTTCATGCTATATATCTGGATTTTAATAAAGCGTTTGACTTAGTCCACCACGACATTCTTTTAACCAAATTGGAATGTATGGGTATTCATGGTTCCTTGTTGCGTTGGTGTGAGTCATACTTAAAGAATCGATCCCAACTAGTTGCCATTAATGGTTTTAAATCTTTCGAATGTAAAATACCCTCTGGTGTACCGCAAGGGTCACACTTAGGACCTTTGTTTTTCCTTGTTTTCATTAATGATGTTGGAAAAGTACTTAAATCCAAATATCAAATATTCGCAGATGATTTAAAAATGTACAGGGAAATTAAATCACCAGAGGATATCGAAATCCTACAAAATGACATCAACAACCTTGTTTGTTGGTGTCTTGCAAATCGTATGACTCTAAATAAGGATAAATGTGTTCATATTAAATTTAGTAGAAAACGAAAACCACTAAAACATACTTACTACATCGACGGTACGCCTCTTACGGAATTAACGAGTGTTAGGGATCTCGGGGTGATAATAGATAACACCTTAAGCTTTAGAGATCACATTGATTCCATCATATCAAAAGCCTCGCAATTATCTGGTCTGGTATTAAGATTAATGAAAATCTTTAAGGATCCAAGCTTAACAATATTAGTATACAATAGTATAATAAGGAGTATCCTAGAATATTGTTCAGTTGCTTGGAGTCCTGGATATGAAGTGCACTCTGATAGAATAGAGCGTGTACAAAAACGTTTTCTGTATTACTTAGCGTACACAGATCTAAATGCAAAGAATTTTAATTCTTACGACGCACGCCTAATTAATTATAAAGTGCAAACTCTTAAATATAGAAGAGAAGCTGCCGACTTTCTTTTTTTATACAAATTACTGCATGGACATATTGATGCACCTGATCTACTTGGTAAAATTAGTTTCTACATTCCGCGTCAAGGTAGCCGTTTACAAAATCGCAAATTATTTAGCCTGCCTGCTGTCAAATCAAATCTTGGTCAACATTCGCCAATTTTCCGTATTTGCTCACTTGCGAATTGTGGTCGTCAACACATAGATATCTTCAGTGAATCTGTTGGTTCTCTCAAAAATAAACTTAAAATAAACTCATATTATTTTATGTAATAATTAAAGAAGTAACTAGTTAACACAAGTACTGTTATTAATACTAAGAAAGGTATGTGTATTTAAAGCATGCTAGGTTTGCATCTAGAAGACTGCAACTAAATGTCACTCTGTTTTAGCTTAGACCTTGTTTTGTATGTACTAGTTGTAAGTCAGTTTTGTGAACTTAAAAAAAAAAAAAAAAAAAAAAAAAAAAAAAAAAAAAAAAAAAAATATATTAAAAATAATAATATTAGAATACATATAATTATTATTTTATTTAAACTGCTAACATTGTTTATTAGTCTGTGTTTTACGTTTTAGATAACAAATCAACATCTTTGATAAATTTTGCGTGAATATTGAGAGGCATTGGGTCAATCTCAGTTTCTTGTTGTATCACGAAGACAATTCTTTCCCAGGCTGATTTTATATTAATTGAATAATATAAAAGAAAAGAATTAAAAACAACTAGTATCTAAATATTACAGACGTAATTTGGTTTGATTTGGGCCATAGTAATAATTCCATCTTGATACGGATCATGGGTTTCTACAATAAGCCCTTGTTTACAACCAATACTATTAAAGCAAATATTATGTATCAGAATTTTACTATCTTCATAAATTATTCGGGTTGTGTTATCTGACAGGACAACTGCCAAACAAGTAACAGTTATTTCAAAAGTGACTATCAAAGATAATGTAAAGTTACAATAGATGTAGTCGTAAACCTTAAATATTATAATGTTCTGTCAATTCTTTGGAATTTTTAATGTGAGAAACTTCCAAGAAGTATATGAAAGCGTTTAAAAAAGCGTGAATAACATCTTAAAACCCCTTATCAAGTTATAGCGTGACCCGAAAAATAAAATTCATTCTATATAAAATGATCTCATATATTTTCCATAAATCTGTCTGTAATCTATCAATTACTAAATATTCGTTTTCACATTTAATAACTGATGATATGAAACATAAAACTTTAACAAATAGGTCATAGACAGATAATAAAAACATAAAATGCCTTAATAATAAAAAAATAAAACTTCGCTCATAAAACACAAGGCTCCACGTATAATAGGGTGACCATGAACTAGTAATGTCTTTGCTATTTATTACGTACTTAGGTCACAGATATTGATATATTGCTTACAAAATCTGGTATAATTCCACAAATTGGAACATCATTAGATATATAAAATTTTATAAAAATAATGTTTTATTTGTAACATTTGCTTTTTCATCATACAATAATTAGAAAAAACATTTGAAGTTTTGTTATGAAAACTTATATCAAATTATTGTAAATTAATTATTTTGATCGGTATTACAATAGAATATGTTAAAAGATTATAGTATTAAACGAATTTAATCAAAAATAATGTGTTCACTAATACCCATATAGACGTTTCTGTCAAACATACAATCCAAAACATCTTTTTTCTGCATTAAATTACTGAAATAATTGTGAATTGTACTTAATATTTAAACTGTATGGAGTAACTCACGTGGTATGGGATAGGCGTACTGATCTGGATACCGGGCGATAAGTGTGTTCTTGATATGACGACGACCCACTCCGTGAGCTCCGAGCAACACTATGGTCTTCCTCTGGAAGGCTGTTAAAGATATTAGATTTTAACAGAAACCTATTTAAAAATAGCGTTTCGTGTAAAGTCCACTCTATCAAAACGGAAAAATATTTATATTTTTCGTAAAATTAAAAGTGTTTGGAAAAAGCGCTTATGTCTCTGTAGGATGGATCTCTAATTAATTTATACTAGTTTTGATGAACAATTATTGCTATAAGATACTTGAACCTTTTGGATATAATAAAATAGCTAACTTAGTAACCATAACGGATACTATATTCTGAGTTCAACTTCATCTTCCTAGAAGGTTAGGTTTTGTAAGCTATGGAACGTTGTAAAAGAATTCAGATAGGTTTAATTTCAGATATGTTGGGACTGTAAATTCCCAAGAGGCGAAATAGTTCGAACGAAAATAAAGTGCTGTAAATCATAATAAATATAACAAGAACAAAACTTACAAGGAAGTTTAACAACTTCTTCGTATGTTACAACATCTAGTTGATCGAACACGGCGTTGTGTTTCGCCAAATATTTGTCTTTGGCCTGTTTCTTTTTTCTTCCGAATATAGAACAATTCACTGTAACAAATGTTTGGAAAACGATATTAGCAAAAGTTGTCGCATAAAATAAATGTAACTTTGAAATTTATAAAGATAAATTTCAAGCGCTGTAGAGTTAATTTAATTAAGTTAATTAAACCATACGTTCTGATATAAATCAATATCTCGTGGTTCGCATTAATTAACTTTCCACGAACACTGCTGTTGAAACAAAGTTATATAAGTACAGAAACTAAAAGAAAATTTGATTATATATTTTTTTAATAAATAATTTATTGAAATTTATTTTATATTAATTAGTATTTATAATGATATACATGGGAAAGATCTGATTTCTTTATATTTTTGAAGTTTATTACAGAACCGATAAACCAATGAATTGATTTATAACAATTTTAGTATGGACTTAGGTAAACCTATGAAAGTATGCAAAATTAAAAACTTGTCAATATTAAAATAGAATATCTCATATGACTCAAAACATTTTTAAACTGTCAACAAATCAAAACTAACATAAAGTCAGTGACTATTAACTTCAATCTTTTATGTTTTCTTTAGGATAGTTACAATATGAGAAGCACTGATCTAGTAAATCTTTAATCTATACAAATATAATACCTGTGTTCTCACATCCGTCGGTATGGGACACGCATCCCTCAGCTCCTAGCGGCACAACATTACAACAGACATGCATGATATATGGACGAACTATAGGGATGCTTGGCCAAAGGGTAAATTAGTCATAGGAGAATTAAGACGAGAGGACGTAAGAAAAAAGGGTACGTAGCCATTAGCGATGAGTATGACTCAGGTTACATATAGTGGGGATTTTTGGTTGTCAGAATAATACATCCAATATTATCACGTTTTATTCAGTTATAAAAACGAGCGCAATGGATTTTAATATTTAAAGGTTATTAATTGATAAAAAGTACTCAAATACGATAAATTCCCAAGTTGATCGAGCAAAGTATAAATTTCTTTAAGAAATTTCTGTGTCGTTATAACATAAGCTCCCTAGATGTTTTGAAATATATTTTGTTATGAATTATTCATAGATTTTCTACTAAATAATACACATTATGTACAAACTCTAGGATTATATAGCAGTTTTATTTACTTTGGGAATATAATACCATGCGCATTTAGGAACATAACATTATATTTCAATCCATGGGTGGGTCATTTTATTTATATATTAGAAAAAATCAAAAACATTACATACCAACTGTAGATTTGTCCATAAATGTTTTAGTTTGAAAGAAAAATATCAACTGTTAATGTACATCAGACGAAAATGTTGCTATCAAAATAATTATAAATAAAAGTTTTTATTGCCAAAAAACCGAAATGCTTTAAATAATAGTCCGATTGAAGGTCCTGTTGAAACTACCCTCATTGTATTTTTTAAGATTCTGTATATCCAAATCAAATGATATCAAAACGAACAAGGCGATATTGCTTAATATCGTAAGAATAAAGTTTGTCAAATAGCACTTTTCATGAAAACTGGATACAAATGAGTTTATTAACGTGATTTGAATAACAAGTCGAAGATAATAAATTAGGAGGTATGAGTAATTAGCTCAAAACTTACAGAGAAATTCGCTGAAATACTGTACTCAAAACTCTAAAAGCCTTAACATGTTAAATGTAAAGATGGTTTCAATGTTACACACATATAACTAATATCGCAAAAATGATTAGACAATTAGCAACTCATCAATAACAATATCATCAAGATATACATTCAACTGTATACTACTGAATATATATCATTGAAATTATTATAAAATGATTCGTCCGGCCACATAAAACTGGTAATCAAGCAAAAAAACATCAATATACCCTACCAGCTAGACACAGAATCACAATCTATAGTGTTATGGTATTTGATAATAACCTTGATCGGTGTTACTTCTTTCTGCGGCAGCACAAGCGGCTCGCCACTCTTGTAGTTCAGGACTCGGTATGAGACCCGCTGATCCACCTGACGCGTCTTTACGTGCTTGCCACCAGTGGGAGTCATCCTTGCTGATTATCTGAAAAAGGATTGTATTGTGTGAAGGGTCCTTTAGAATTGCAATGTTTAAGTCCTGAAATTTGATCTGTATACCTAAAAGAGAAAAATATTTTGACACGAATTTAAAATATTCAACCACACGAGTTAAATACACCAAATATAGAAAGATAAACGCAAGAAATTTACCTGCAGTATATCTCCTGTATTGAACGCTATACCAGCTTGAGCGCAAGGTATTAGTTCATCCTCTAAGGGATCGTAGTCAAACTGCGCTCTAACAAATATCTGTAATTTATTTAAATTATTACAAGTTAATAGTGGCTTTAAATTATTTATGTGCATTATGAATGACAAAATGATTATATGGCCAAGCACAATGTATGTAATATATACAGATAATAATTGTAATCCGAAGACAAATTAGTTAAATTTGTAAATAATAGTAAAAAAAATATTTATTTAGTACAAAGTTTTTTTGAATACAAATATGATATGGTTATTGTTGAAATATAAAACGTAAATAATATTTCATTTTAATATTCGTAAGGATTATTTATGTAATAGTGGTGATGGTATGTGATAAGTGATTGGTGTAAAGGTGAAGCGATGTCAAACAACAACAAGCGCACAGAAACGGGGAGACCGTATCAGCCATGCCCGAATGACGAACACAACACAAAAATAACACAAATTACACAACACATACGTGATAAAACACAATAAAATAAAGTAGCAACGGCTCTTGTAATCGCTACTTACTAGCACGGGCGAAGGCTTAATCCGGAATAGCTAGTTAGAAAATAAAAAAAAAAGATTCATTTTAGTAAACTGTTAAACACAATGCATTATGGACAAGCAGTAGATGAGAAATTTATGTGCGCTTGTCGAATTTTAATAAACTACGATTTCGTATCGAGTTTCATACCACGTTAGTGCCACACAACTATATCAAATAAAACATTAGAAAACACTACACATTTTATAGTTCTATTATCAATAAGGTTGCCTTCTTTAAATCAAAGTGTTAGCAAAATGCACAACATTCCTATAACACAGAGCTTTAGGGGTTGCCAAGAGCGTTCTACTGACTCAAATGCCATTATGTTTAATAGACTCATTACCTCGCATGGCGGAGGAGCCGATCGGTATGATGGCACGATCTTGAACGTCACTGAACCACGTGCCTCACGCTGCGAACAAGTTGTCAAAGATTACTCATAAAAATCTGCATCATAATATAGAGCTACTTAAAAAAAATATAAACACTATTATTTAATCAACAAAAAATATTGAAAAGCAGTAAACGTTGGTCTCTCAAAATTACTTTTGTAAAAGGCATTTGTCAAGACCCAGTAATTTCGTTTCGAAATTTAAAAAAACATCAAAGAAATTCTACCCTTTATTTAAGGATTGGAGCCTGTAATAGGTAAAATACAATTGATTACCAGCATCCTTTGAAGTTGGGCGACGGATTGATTAGCCACTGGTGTGCCATTAATTTCCTTGATCTCATCTCCCACGTGCAGAGTCGCCTGTCTGTGTATCATTCCACCGTGCATAATCCGAGCAACGATGCATCTTCCGTCATCAGCCAGTTTTAATGTAATGCCCTGTAGTATAGGCAGTTTTCTAGTATTTCTGTCATTTTTTTTAGTCACAGAATTTTTCATGATCAACAAATAAATAATTTAGAACCAAACCATCGTAACTTTAGATCGTAATTAAAGTTTCTGTTTATTATTCAGTCAGCAAATATATGAAATCAATTTGGACATATACAGCACAGTTTATACAAGTAGCCATAGATTTAAAAAAGACATAAGGCTTTGTGTTCTAAAAATACCGCAAGTTTTTTTGCGAATATTCCGTCTAAATACTACAATTTTAGTACCAAAAGTGTTATTGAAATACGATTTTAAATATACAATAGCTTGCTTTGGTAAAATGAGCCTTTTGGGATGTTGCCCGTCCGACCGCTCTGGTAAAAAGATAGACTGTAAAGAGGACAGACGCAAACAACCCAACCGAAGCTTTTATCCCATCTCTCTGGAGCTGTGATATGAATAATCGATACAGGTAGCTTACACTACAATCCAAAGATCTTTTCCGTTAAGATCGTATATCTTTTAGAGCATTTACACGATCCAATGGTTAAAGGAAGGATTGTTATTTTACGAATTTCTCGAGAGTAAATTTAAATTCATGTAATCTATTATCACTATGAAAATATATCAATTTTTGCTTCTTACCATTGGTTCATCGGTATTCTTCTGAAATTGTACGAGGCGCACTCTAGTCACGTTCTCAAATTCTGGCTCAGTATCATCTTCTTCTTCGGGTGGTTGTTGAGCTCTGCCATTGACTGGCGGCGGAGACGCACGGAGCGACTCCTCGCCATAAACCTCGCGAGCGACCACATCATGAGCTTGCAGAAGGGCCTGGGAATGAAATATCATGATTATTTATCATACATTGTTCCGAAATATAAAATACCATAAGAGATAAGCCATTGAGTTTTTAATCCTTGCTGAAAATTTCCAACTCAGTGCTTCGTAAACGAATAATATAGACGTCTTTTCTTGAACGTTATAATTTAAACGTGAAAAAGGAAATGAATCCTGATTTTCGTTTAAGATTTTAATACTGAGATATTAGGTCGTAAATTCGATCAGCAGTTCTCTCATTCGGTATATATGCATTGTGAGGTGTATTTGAAATAGGGTTGAGTGCCGGCTCCAGATGCATGTCCTAATTTTAACTCCATAAAATTCTAAAAATATTATATGTTCGGTTCTGATTTATTCTAATTTTTAATACAACAAGTTTCCTTTGTAGGTTTAATAAAAATGTATTTTGTCCATCAGCTATATTCAAATAGAAAACGAAATTCCCTTTGACACTGCTGAATTGCGGGTATTTGGTAATCCGTAAAATGCAACTACTGCATTCACAGTTCCAATGAAATAACTAGCGTTCATTTTCGATTTTCGGAAGAAAATGTTATTTAAACTCTAAATAATTTACAAAAATTTTTTTAGAGAATATTAATTAAAAACTGTACTAATAAATGTTGATACAAAACGAGTAAGTATATTTTATGTTATGAATTAATTGAGTTTTATTAATAGGAACACATACCTCATCACTCATAAAACAAATCTCGTGGGTGCATGACCAGTTAGTGTATTTTAAGACAGCTGTTATTGGCTGGCTGTATATAACGTTAACCTCAATAGACGTTACATTTTATTTTGCCATTGTTACTTTTTGTTGTTACTTTCATATAAATCATGCCAATATTAGTATACCCGTTAAAACCTCACAATAGTATTTAAACTATTATCTCTTAGAACAAATGTAATATATATATTAATTGTCATGAAAAGTTTTTCTTATCCCTGAAAATGGTTCATTATAATGCTAGTTAACAGGTGACGCTGCATAACAGACCATTCATTTAATTTTCATTTTTTTTTTTGTAATAAACACATTTATAACACATTTATAAAATGCCTATTACACTCAGTTATGCATACTAGTTAATACACGAAAAAACTACAAAGATATTGAAAAATGAATTCTCCAATTTTTTAATTTTTCTAGCCGTGTGCATCAAATCAGAAACATAATTGCGTTTTCAACAACAAGACAAAATAACTAAATTATGGTAGTTCCAATGAACGCTCTAGGCATTCAAACTTTTGCCAGATCGATTCGAAAATTTATTCCTAGTGTAGGGTTTGCCAAATTTTCTTTACTTCTAAGTAAATTATTTTTCTAAAGTAAGCAAATATTCGTATATGATTTTCCATGTATTAATCTCAATACAAAGCAATTTATTTATTCATGTAATCGAACAAAGGTATAAAAACAAAGATTGTATCTTTTATTTTTACTTTCTACATAAAATATTTTTTTAGTCTAACATGAGGAATAAAAAATTATTTGACATGGATATTTTGATAACCTCTTAACATTTTTTTCGGAATATATGTAAGTATTTTTCAAACCATAGTTTTAATGTTGCAAGAATGAAAAGTTATTTTAATTGAAACACGTACTAATGTGCACATACACGTATTTTTACATCTTAATGAAGAAAAGTTTAATGTTTCTGAGGAAAAATTAGCTGTTTATTTGAAATCAAGAGGCGGTGCGGAACACAAATGTATTTTGTAAGGTTATAAAAAACATTTAGTTTCGGTAGAGCAACATCAGTTACTGTTAAAGCTGCGAAGGCAATTAAGAGTTTTTTGTTTAAAAGTGTTTCAAGAATCCTGTGTTGGATATTGTGGACTAAAATTGCTAAACTGGTAAGTCAGTAGATATATGAATTAGATATTTTCTTTTGTGATCTTGGCTATACTCTTATAGGTCGCCTTCATCTGAAATCAAATTATTAAAAATTGCTAATAGACTGAAAAACAATTCAAGTTCTGGAAATTATTTCAAGATGATATAATGATGATATTTAACAATCACTTTTTTCTCTCTTAGTACCTTCAAATTTTATCAAAATGAAGAAATATTTTAACGAAATAAATCATTGAAATAGTAGTTACCTAAATGTTGTACTTATTTTATTATTGAATATTTCATTGGTTTTTTAAATTAATTTTAAATATTTGTATTTTTTTATTAAATAATTATTTTTATATAATATTATTAATCTGCTTTGGACCATCTTATAAAATGTAGATTTTTTCTTTATGTTCTGATCTTATTATAAATATTTTGTTAATTATCTTTGTCGTACGTACTAACTTTTTTTAACTGATCATATTCATCGTGTAATAAAATAGACATGGTTTTTTGCCATCCTAATAAACTCAAAGTCGGAACATAAAGAGTGGAATCGTCGAACCGTTTGCACGGTTTTGTCGTTTATTGCTCTTTTAGCTCAATTTGTTTCCCTTCCTTTTACTTCATCAACGTGACCGGTTTAGAAAATGTTTCACAGACTGTAGATAACGCAGATATAGTTCAGACATACGCTCGTTTGTTTCACAACAATAAGTCCATTTCGAATTTAGAGAGGATTTAAAAGTGTTTAAGACGTTAACATTTATAGAAAAATTATAAATTATATTTTTGTATATGAAGTAAGTATAAAATATATTATCAATTTATTAAGATGAAATTTTTAAATGTATCAGATATTATATTCATGGAAATACTTTTCAAAACAAAAAAAATAATTTAATGAAAACTATATTCGTCCTCAAATGTCAAAGAATATGTCATAAGTTAAAGAAATATATCTGTTTTAGAAATCTGTCCTATTTCTAAAATAATATTTGCTCAATAAATATAGTCTTTATATAGAACTCAAGATTTATATCGTTCAATAAATAAAAACGTTCATATTGGTAAAATATTCCATGATTCCAGGGCGAATGAAGCCATAGTATTAAAAAAATACTATCTTTTCATTTATGTACAACAAATGATTTTACAATATTATACGAAGCTAAGAATATTTTTCGAACTTCTCAATAAGATACGAATCGATTGCTTTATTTTATTAAAAGAAAAGGTCTTTTATAAATAATGCTTTTTAACATCAATAGACAATTGATCACCATAATTTTTATTGTATTGTCCTGAATATTTGTACGCCTACCTGAAAATTATAATTGTGGCAAGAAAAATATGTTTTCAAATTCTGAATCAGAATTTTATTACGTATATTTTATTTATCAAGAAAATTTGTAATATAATACAAAAACTTAGATATAAACAATAAACATATATAGCCAAAGTTTAAAACATCAGAGTTTAAAACTATTATATGGTATACGGAATCGTCAATACTTCCAGCAAACTTAAGATTGTTCCTCATGCTTCAGTGAATTCAATATTAAGAAAATGCACAGCAAAATCTTGAAAATGCGTTTCAAGTCGGTGTGTCTGACGCTATATACCAAGAATGAAGAGAAGTTATTTCTATATTGAATAGTATAAGAATCACTGCGTAGTAAAGAAAAAAAAAGATTTTTAACATAGAGCAAGATAAAAAGTATTTTCGACCTTAAAGCCAAGAATGCTTAAAGGTGAATATTCAAATTAGAAAATCTCAGTGTAGGTAATAAATAGATTAGTATTATAAAAAGCGTTCTAATTACAAACAAATAATCCTACCATTTTAAAATATACACAGTTATTAAGTGCTTCTGGAATATAATCCAATTTTAATCTCTAGTTTCTGGTTTTGATGCATAATGTTTAATTTTATGTCAAACAATAACAAACTAGGTGTGCCACGAAAGTAACATTAATCCTTGGTCTAATCCAGATTTAAAACAGCACAATTAACCAACGTAAGCCGTTTCTACTTGGATGAATAACAAACATCAAAACTTTGTATTAACGACACTGAAAGGATTCAGAGTTAAGCATTTGATTTGAAAACTTAATATTTTCTTTGGAAAATATTTGTTAAGGGAAATGTCTTATATATTAGAAGATTAAACTGAACAATTCTCTTTTGTCATACTTAAAACAATAATGCCAATTAAGAAAGTTCCTTACGAATGGAATTATAAAATAATATCTACGAACAAAAAAACCTATTTAAGAATGTTATTAACATATTTGTACGTCACGAATCTTTATGAATAACTTTTTACTTTTCACGGCTGAAGTAATTTTAAATAAATCAAAACTTCTGAATATTTTATTCTAGCAGTGAAATATTTTGAATATTTAAGTTAAACATTGATTTGAGTTAGGGCTCAACAGCGCATTTCACAAAGCAAATGAAACGCGGTATACCTGTGGTTGTAGGTTTGAATCTTCCTAATTTCGAGGAATTAATTGCTTTTTCTACAGTTGCTATCATATATTGCTATATATTTTTATTTAAAGCATGGTTATGATATGATGAATATGATAATATTCTTTTGTTTATAACACAAACAAAATTTTTAATTAACTTCCAAAAAAGACTCCTTGTATATGACTTTTAATTGGCTATAATGGGTTTATGTGATTCTTTATACATATTATGTGTAAATTCCGTGTTAATTAAAACATATGCATTGCTTTAGCGTTCCAGTAATTTTTTCGTTGATATGAAAACTGTCGATTCCAATGGAATACAAACGACTTTTAATTTCCTTTTTATTAGTCGACCTAGATAACTGAATACGGTGAGTCAGACAGAAGTCTGATTGCTTCTAACAAAATAAACTTCTTCATACATTGAAATTAGTTTTCGGTTTTGTTATATAAAGAAGTTTGACATGTTTCAAGTTTATGAGAAAACGCAGTTTAAAGATTTAGGATAGAAAACAATGTGCAGTATGTATATATAATGTATATTAGTAGATAAAACCGTACCACCAGACAGGTACGTCAGTTAGTAAACCGCTTTCAAATATTTTTCAACTTTGGTTCCATACAAAGACGTGGTGTGCTTATAATTATATTTAGTCTT